AATAGTAATCCAGGCTGGCTTGTATTTGTTAACGGATTGATTTTAACTTTATTGTTGCACACATGTAGATAAATAAATCAACAGAGAGATGATTTAAATTGAAAGTCACTCGGTTAATGGCAGTTTTGAAATTCTCTAACTTATTTATAATATTATCCAGATTACTGCTAATATATGTATCATCCAGCAATACTATGGATTTTTTAAAATCAATTTCCAGTTTCCACTAATAATATTCTCTGGCGTTTGTACAGGTGCTTGTGAACGACATACAAGCGCACCAGTCGAGTGTTGATACACTGAACGACGCAGGACGTCAGCTGATAGAGTCTGGGCGAGGTAGCGACGAGGCGTCGTCTACACAGGACAAACTTTCAACCCTTAACAGGTAAAACTTTCGCCCTAACTGCTTTAAACACATTCATAAACCAATGTTTATCGGTGACTAGGTAATGATGAGTAGAAGCCAAGTAAGTTTTTATCAAGAAACCCAGATTTTTTTATTTATTTAAGTTAATAGTCTTTAACATATAGCCAATTCGTAAAACACCCAATGACAAAGTTGTCAACGATTGCTGTTTGTTGCTGCAGACGGTGGCGAGAGCTGTTGCAGAAGGCTGCGGACAGACAGACTGAACTGGAGGAAGCGCTGCGGGACGCTCACAGGTTTGCTGCGGAGATACAAGACCTACTGTCCTGGCTGGGAGAGGTGGACGGTGTGATAGCCGCTAGCAAACCAGTCGGTGGACTTCCAGAAACTGCCAGTGAACAACTGGAGAGGTTTATGGTGAGTAAAAGCTTTGGTTACAATATTCCAGTTAATTCTTAATCCTTTTGAAGTTCAGACTCAAGAAGTTTATTTTTAGGCTTTACTATTTGTATCTGCTTCATTGGATCATTTTCATTTTCATTATTGCTTCCAATGTTTTAGCCTGCTTGACTAGTTCATCTTTCCTCGTCTCTTCTTTAGGTGACCAAATGGTATTCTTCCATCTGGGTTTTTTTTTAATTTTTTTTTATAATAGCTTAATTTCTCCCCCCTGATTATGTGTTCCGTCCATCTCAGATGTCTTCTTTTTTTTCGGTAACAATCACATCAAGCTACAAGTAAACATTATTGATACAGCTTTCCTTCTACTCAACATTATAAGAGGGATTAGGAGAAGAGGAAGGCTCACCAGCTGTTCTAGTTGTATTCCTTAATTTGTAGAAATCATCGCTTACACAACAGAGTTACATCCATTAATAGTACATATTGCTAGAAATTAGCTGTAAAAATAATGTTAAAGCTGGAAAATACTTTTCTTTACCTCTTTGGTTATTGAAACCTAAGTTCGAATCCTTAACAATACCTTAATTCTGATTTCTGCTGGCTTTACGTGTCGTGCCAAGTCTATTGACATCTTGAACTTTGACCTTACATCTCTTTCTTGGTTTTCCCAGTGGTCATCTTCCATTTGGGTTTCCCTGGTAGACAAATTTGGGTTTTCCGTGATTTTCAAATTGTCTTCTCCACATTATGTACTGTCTATCACAACCTACAGCTTCTTGCCATTACTACAATACATAACATTAAATATTCCTAAAAACATTCTACACTAGCTCTGTGAACAATCTTCTAGCTTGGTTTTGCCTTGCAGGAAGTGTACAACGAGCTAGAAGAGAACCGGCCCAAGGTCGAGACAGTTTTGGCCCAGGGACAGGAGTACCTCAAGAAGTCACCACCAGGAGCAGCAGGCAACCTGCAGACCAATCTACGCACACTCAAGCAGCGATGGGACAATGTCACTGCTCGTGCCAACGACAAAAAGATCAAACTGGAGATTGCACTCAAGGAGGCTACGGAATTCCATGACGCTCTGCAGGTCAGGATAAATACAAGTAGTAAACAAATACCTGTTACTTGGTTATCTACCAGTTAAGGTTTACCTACATTGAATTCATGCATTCTGAGCAGTCTGAGCTTCTACGGCTATATGCTGTGATATTCTCTTAAAAGAAACCTTTTTGCTGGTTTTTGAGTCTCGGCTATTTAAATAGACTAATTTAAACTAAAGGTTCAATGATTTTACAGCTTATGGCTAGAGTTATTAAGAGTATTATTTTATTTGTATTTTTAATATTGGATCTTAAAGCAAAATTAGCCTTTGGGTTGGATTTTAAGGGTTTCAGCCAGTATAGCAACATTACCTGAATGGGAGTGTCTATTGTCACAAAAGAACACAGAAAGTTAGCACAATTATTTGAATTTCAGTGTCACTGACAGCATTTACAACTAAATGAAGGTTTAAGTTTGGAAGAAAGCCTATAATTCTGTAATGTATTTGTTACTGTAATTTTACACAGTATTGGGTTTATTTTAGTGTGGAGGAATAAATTGCTCAATTAATCAGTGGGTTTTATTTGAATCAGGCTATCTCTAACGGTTCATACGTTGGGCAAATCTTGTTGCCAACATACCGAGATTGCTGAACGTACAACTACAGTAACAATCAATGCATTACAAGTTCCAATCTTTCTATACCTAACTCAAAATTAAGCACTTTAGACATTGTAGATGTTAACTATCGGGTACACATCTTACTGTTTACTCACTTCCACAGTCGTTCGTGGACTGGCTGACCAACGCTGAGAAGACACTGTCCGGCTTGAAGCCTGTGTCGCGTGTTCTGGAGACAATACTGCAACAGATCGAGGAACACAAGGCGTTCCAGAAAGACGTGGGTGTTCACCGTGAGACCATGCTACATCTCGACAAGAAGGGAACGCACCTCAAGTACTTTAGTCAGAAGCAAGACGTCATTCTGATAAAGAACTTGCTCATCAGGTGGGTTAAATGTTCTCATTGTTTAAATTATATCATTTTAATACTGATTGGGTGGCTTTTTGAATGGGTGAAGCCAATTCAGTTTTTTATAGAAACAGCAATGCATAAGGGAAGAAGGAATAGCATGTGTACAAACTAGAAAAACCTTAATAAAAAGAAAAAAGAAGAATACCTATTAACATATTTAACATTTTCAGTATGGAATTCCCTTAACCAAAGTAATAGTTCCAAGCAGTTAAAAGTACACCAAAGGCACACAAAAAAAAACCAAAATAACTAAAAAACTTGTGTTTTTAACCTTTTGTGTGCTTTCAACCGTCTAGATCTCTCTTGTTGAGTAAGTTAGTGGTGTATTGATTCCTTCCTCCTTAGTGTGTAAAGCCTTTACTGTAGTTTTACTACAATTTTGTACTTTTTGTGAATGTCATATTTTTTATATTGCTGTTGAAATTAATATACATAAATTACATATGTTTTTTATTCCATAGGCACACTGAGGTATCTTAACATTGTTTAAAAGATACTAATTTGTATGATTCTTCAAGTGGTTAACTGTCTATTTAATATTTTTTTTTTTACAATATGGCGAAACTGCAAAATGTTTAGAGTGGGTTGAATATTTTTTTAACACATTCAGTAAAAATAAATAATATATACTTCACAAAAACAATTTTAGGGCTACCGTGAAATATGTTTTGATGGTTACCATCAAAAACTTTATCGTTTTCTATCTACTGTCGTAGTATACCACTGATATCAATTGAAATTTTTATTGTTCTTATCTAATCAATACAAAGGAAGTGAAGTCTTGACGTGGTGAACATATCAACACACATACTTCTATTGTCTTGTGCGATTGAATTGGTGTTGATGAATTTATTTTCCTGTTTCCGTGATTCATTGTATTTTGGATTATCTTTTATCTGCTGAAGTACACCTGATAAATTTTAATGATTATCTCAGTATAGTTTTGTACAATGATATTTCCATTGAATACAAACCGTGCAAAGTGTGACTAAGAGATTTTATCTATGATTTCTGTAAATTTTTAGATTTTAGTGGTACTGTAGAGGTTACTAGAATCAGTTTATATGGATTAAACAGTCTGAACTATTTTTTAGTGTGATCGGAGTAAAGTTTTTTTTTAAATTTAAACAATAGTTTATTTAATCTAAAATTTTGAAGAATCAAGAGTTGAGCCTTGGAAACATAGGTTCTGTGGATGTATGTTCTGCATATATTTCCATAAACAAGCAGTGTAGGCCTAACGTTTGTAAAATATGCTTCTTCTCTTGTTAATTGTCTTACTCTACCTGGCCGTCGTTTACGCTGCTTACAGTGTCCAACATCGATGGGAAAGAGTTGTGTCTAAGAGTGCGGAGAGAACTCGAGCGCTCGACCATGGATACAAAGAGGCTAGAGAGTTTCCACGATTCCTGGTGAGTACGAGACTACAGTTTCATAATTTTGTAGTTTTGTTATTGAGAGTTAATACACATTTAAGTAACACATAACACATTTAGGTGTGATTTAGACTACATGTCTTTTGTATCATTAAAAGTCATCTAAGGATCTAATATATGTAATGCTACCATCTAACATTGACGTTTTGATGCATTATTTACTATGATGACCTAGTTGTTATCTCTAGAAGATAAAACAAATGTCTTTTGTCATTATGTAGTTAATTTAATCTGAAATATTACTAAACATATATTTTATGTCCAAAAGTGAGTTTTAATTTAAAGGATAAGCCAAGTGTTTTCATTGGGATTTTTTTATGAAGAAGTTGAAGTCAGATAGCTTACCTTAGCAAATTTGAGAGACTCATCTATTGATCCAAAATAACATTGATATTTTGACCTAATGTATGACTTCTTTAGAGTGTAAATTGAAGAGCCAATGCCCATTGTGCATTCTGAGAAGATTCTGAAACCCAAAAAGTAGCCTACTGAAATATTTTGTGTGCAGAATAGCATGCAAATAAGTATAAATGTCTCAATTTGTCAGATGTCTTAATTCCAAAGACAATTATTTTCAGGTCAAACCTGATGGGCTGGCTGAACGACACGGAGAAATCCCTGGACGAGTTGGAAGTTGAGGCATCTAGCATTGGAAACGACCCTGAGCGCATCAAAACAACGACTGGCCAAGCACCGAGAGTTCCAGCGAGCGCTGAGTGGCAAACGAGGCTACTTACGACTCCACCATGCGTGCCGGCAAGACGCTCAAGGAACGAGCGCCCAAGACTGACGAGCCGGCGCTGGCCGCCAGATGATGAACGACCTGAAGGACAAATGGAACACAGTGTGTGCCAAGTCTGTGGATAGGTGAGTGTTTGTCTTGTATAGGTTTTTTTCTGGGTGGAATAGTAAAAAAGTACATTTGAAAATAAAAATAAATAGAATTTACTGCGTTTGAAATAAACGTACATTACAATTAGCTTTGTGTTAAAACTGCACTATGTTTCCGGTGGTAAGGAATTTCCCCTTCTGTCTCAAGTAGGGATGGTCAAGTCTCGAAATTTCGGGAAATTTTCGGGAAATTTTCAATCTCGTTACACGAGACGAGATTACTTTTGGCCGAGATTTTTATCGAGACGAGAATAAAAAAAAAAATAAATTAAAAACGCCTGCAGAAGTCAATGCAATACCCGCAATACAGGAGCGTGTTGTAGTTGCGTTTCCTTTTCGAAGGCGTTGTTATTTAATTAATTCTTTTTATGTAAATATTACTTTAATTCTTTTAATGTAAATATTACTTTCATTATTTTAATAATATTACTTTAATAACATTTGAGAAGTTTTGTTAAGTGTAAGCAGTGTGAGGAATGTTTTATTACTATAAAAAAGTCAAAACAAGTAACTATTTTATAAAAATTAATATTGCTTTTATTTTATGATTTATTTTATTTTAGGATAAGTTGAACTCTATCCTAACTGATATCACCATGTTTCCTAATCGTAGGCATTTTTAATAAGTTAGGCGTGATTAATAAAAAAATGTTATGCTGATGTTATTTAACCCTTTCCGCTCAAGCGGCGGGGGAGCCCCGCCGTGCGTCATGGCCGCACGAACTCTAATGTCGGGCCAGGCCCGCCGTCGCTATGACAACGTACTGTACTTTTATTTGGACATACGTAGTTATTTATTTCGCCGCTAGGGTTGATGTTTGACATCTGCTGCCATCTGGGGAATTTTTTCAGAACCGTTTGAACAAATATTCAATGCTCAATATTAAATCTTAGAGCTTATGTCAGTCGTCTTCACTCGTTAACTGAACTGCTGTCTGTAGCGGCAGCTGACTGACTGCACGGCAGCTGTTTACTAAATGTTGCTTGGTTTGTTTACTGCCGTATGTAGTTGGAGTGTTATTATCGAATTGCGTGCTTTACTTTTACTTTTTATTATTGTTTACATACAATCAGATATTTTCAGTTAGTTGTTTATTTTCGTGTTTGACTGAACTGTTATGATTTGAGTTAGTTAGTTCTTGTTACGTAAGCCCATAAAATGGATGAAGACGGCGATGATTCGTTGCTAAATCGCAAAATTGCTGATGGAACAAGTAATATAAGTGATTCTGATATAGCTGGTTTGTTATTTGAAGACGATTTATTATCAAATAGCAGTTCAGATCCAACCGATCCAGAATTAGACGACGACGAAAATAGTGATGAAGATGGTGATAATAATAGTGATCCCGATTTGCCGATTGAACATATTGATCCATTTTATCTTCAAGATGATGTTAACTTTGGGACATTAGATGACATACCTGGAATACATAATGTAAGTACCGATTTGCCTGTTGAACATAGGCCTATTGATGATCAATTTTTTCAACAAGATGATGTAAACTTTGGGACATTAGATGAAATACCGGGAATACATAATGTAAGTATCGGTGGGCCTACCGAATTACCTGTAATTACTGAACCAAGCTGTTCCAATATTTTGAGTCAATCAAAAAGACTAAAACTTGACAGACCGAGACCTAGCTCTATCCCAGTTTGTACTGAATCAGGACCTTCTTCACAATCAACCAAACTTACAACAGGTAGACATTTGCGTGGATCGAGAAAAACTAAAGTCTCAAAAACCAAAAAGAAGTCTAGTCTTAGCACACAGGGTAAAAAGGCTCGGCCTAGGCCTATCCAAACCAAGAACAAGCCTAATGAAGATCATAACTATAGGACTTACACAAATACTGACCAAGATTTCCCCCACTTCCCTTACACTTTGGAATCTGGCTACAAACCCCCAATAGGCTACAAACCTAATAGCCCATTACAGTTTTTTCAATTGTTTATGACAGATGAACTTTTAGAAACTATTGTTACTGAGACAAATAAACATGCTAAGGTTGTCATTTCTAATAAGAGGCCGTTGCAAAAAAATTCAATCTGGCACTCGTGGACGGATGTAACGTTAGAGGAGATACGAGCATTCATCGGAGTGGTTCTAAACATGGGACTCAATACTAAACCCTCGCTGCAAGACTACTTTGCACAAGATTGGCTTTATAATCAGCCATTCTTTAGCCGTGTATTTTCAAGAACAAGATTTTTTCAAATATTTTGGACTTTACACTGTTCGAGTACTGGTGGTACCCAACCAGCCCGATCACGAGGGGACAAGTTAAAAAATATAATTGCTTACCTTCAGACTAAGTTTACAGAATACTTTGTCCCTCCATATGAGCTTTCTATGGACGAAAGTACAATTTCGTTCAAAGGAAAAGTGTACTTCAAGCAATACAACCCCAAAAAACCAATTAAATGGGGTCTAAAGGTTTTTGTTGTATCTGATGCCAGGTCAGGATACATTTTCACGTTTGAGCCATACTATGGCTCAGCTACATCGCAGATATTACCTTACCCTGACCTGCAATTCACTACCAGAATTGTTTTGCTGTTGGCACTAAGAGTGAGGCAAGTATGTGGGCCAGATTGCGGTTTCCACATATATACTGACCGATTGTATACAAGTTTGTCATTAGCTCAAGAGTTGCTAAAGATGAAAATGCATCTCACTGGTACAGTTAATTCAAACCGTCAAGGTAATCCCAGTAATGTAAATAAGAAAAGGCTAAAGGGTCTTTTGAAGAAACATGAGACAGCAGCCTACCGTCACAAAGACAATGTCTTGGTGTTGGTGTGGCGGGACCAGAGACACGTAATTATGATGAGTTCGTATCATAACTCGGATATGCAGTTAGTAAAAAGAAGAGAGAAGGGAAGAAAAGAAGATGAAATTGTGTCCAAACCAGTTGTTGTATGCGATTACAACGAGAGAATGGGAGGAGTCGACACTGCCGACCATTACATTTCGTCCTACATGTTTGTTCGGAAATCTAAAGTGTGGTGGAGAAAACTGTGGTTCTGGCTTATGGAAGTATGTGTCGTCAACAGCCTCCTGCTATACAACATGGACTTACAGAATAAGGGGAAAACTCCCATTGATTCGAAGAGATTTAGGGAAATGCTGATTACTGAACTTGTTTCTGGTGTACGTAACAAATCTTATTCACAGCGAGGTCGTCCTTCTTCAGCTGACCAAGAAGATAGGCTAGATAAAAAACCTCATTTTATTTATGCCAATGAAAAAAGCAACAGCAAGGACTGTGCTGTTTGCAGCAACAGGAAAGCTGGACAGAGAAGAGAAACAGTGTATTTCTGTGCTACATGTGCAAGAAAACCAGGCCTTCACCCAGGGCAGTGCTTTGAACGCTACCATACCCTGAAAAACTATAAGATGTAATGAGGTATGTCTAGTTCTTTGACAAAAACACTGTTTAAATTCTTATATAACTTGTGTTTATTTTATGTTATTATTATTTTAGGCCTATTCTTGCTTGTGATTGAAGCGGAGTAGCGTACAAGCGAGATAAAATATTTAGGCCTAGTTCTTGTTTTATTTATGTTTTTCAGCTAATACAGTTTTGAAGAAAAAATACTTTTTCTCTTTACATCATAAATATTTGGTTTCTAAGCAACAGCAAAATTAATATTGCCTAAAAAGATATTAGTCGCTACAAAAACTGATATTTTCACAAAAACTTTTTTTTAGCAAAAATTCATATTTTTCAATATATTTTTTTTTTCGCATAAAATTGTGTCTTTTAGCTATGTAAATCACTTCAATATATATATAAGGACATACACAATGTAAATAAAACACTTTTATACTCTTATTTCTATAAAAAAATTGTAAAAAATCTTGTTATTCCAATTTTTGTATTTTCTCCAAAAAAAATTTTTTTTTTATGAGTAATGTATAATAAATTTTTTAAATATATATACTGGTTTCTATATCCTAAATATGATCTTTGGTTCATACAGAATTAGGAAAAAAATTACCAGCATTCTACAAATAAAGACAGTATTTGTTTTTTTGGCAAATAAATGAAGTGTGCAAATTTGGCTAAAATTAAATGGAGCTGGTGAGTAAATGGGCCTCCCGTTAATCTGAGTGGAAAGGGTTAATGAAAGATGTAAATATTCTTGCCTATTAAATCAGGTAAAAATTTCAAACGTGCATTTCCCGTTGTGTATGAGAAGAGAAATCTCGTCTCGATCTCGTCTCGAAATTTTATGAGAAATAAAAAATCTCGTCTCGTCTCGTCTCGAACTAAAAATCCAATCTCGTCCATCCCTAGTCTCAAGTGACCCTACATTTACCTGATTAGTCTATTTAACCTACCAAACTGTTGTATATCCCTGTTTTTTTTTCTACACATATACAACATAGATAACATAATCCAACCCGGAGGTAAATGACGATAAAGGATCACTCCCAAATGTTAAAGGAGAAAGGATAACAAGGGGGATAGCAATCTTTAAAACACTCTGTGATACAACATTTACATTTGTTTTACCTTAAATTAATAAATATGACAATAACTGATGTAGTATGTTTACTAGTGACCCCAACTTTACTCTTAACCATTACCCTTACATCTCTATAAGCAGATTTTTTAAATAAATCCTTGAGTCCGTGAAATACCTCTTATATTAAAGTTAAACTCTCTCCAAATCCACCCAACTCTATAACATTGCTTGTACCATCAACTGAACACTCCAATAAACACTTCTTTGTATTTCCAGACAACGCAAGTTAGAAGAAGCTCTTCTATTCTGTGGACAGTTCAAGGACGCTTTGGAAGCCTTGTTGGACTGGCTGCAGAAGAAGGAGAAGGAGCTCGGAGACGACTCACCAGTGCATGGAGACTTGGACACTGTCGTGGCCCTGGTCGACCAACACAAGGTATGGACGACCTTTCACATCATCGTTTCACTACACTGGCTAAATTAGCTCCAACAATTCCTTTGAACTCCATGAATTATGTTGTGATTAATGCCGATTTATGCTGTTTTCCCTCATCTTATGATAAAAAATTACAAACTATTTTGAAACAAGTTTTTGGCGGACACATACACAGTAACAAAATGCCCGATATGAGGTGCAACTAATGAAAATTCCACCCATTCCTTATATTTCTACCTAGGCTGTCTACTGTTGATTTTACGTGGGTCTTTTACCTTAAGCTCTGCCGTAGACAGTGAAGTCCTCATTCAGTTGAACTGAGCTGAGATTAAAATCTTCAATCTAGGTTGCTATTCGCTATTTGTACCGAAAAGCCTAGTCATCACAGCAGCACAGCTATCAATTTAACCAATACTTAACTGTTTTGCAGGCTCTGGAGGAGGACTTAGCAAGCAGAGCAGCTCAGATGGAGTCTGTGCGCAGAACTGGCCAGGAACTAATGGAGAAGGCCAGCTCAGCTGACGCAGCCACCATCCGTAGTCAACTGAGCGAACTCAACTCGCTGTGGTCTCGCACCAACAAGCTGGCCGAGCGCAAGAGCACTCGACTGCAAGAGGCACTCAAGGCAGCGGAGAAACTACACAAGCAGGTCAGAACTTTTTAAACTTGATTAACAGAAAATGTATTTGGGGTTTTAAAAGTTCTTTTTAGAAGTTTTCTTTTTTTTAGATTAGATATATATTTTTACAGCTACACTAGGATATGTTTTTTAATGTGAAGGATGGTTAAAAGACGAGTCTGAAATGAATATAATAATTTATTTCCTCTTGAGTGGACTAGGTGATAATTTAGAAAGGTGATTGACATGGTTGTCTATAGGACCCAAATTTGTCTGATAAACAATTTATCCATCATCATTTGACCTACAGGTGAACATGCTGCTGGAGTGGCTCTCTGATGCCGAGATGAAGCTGAGGTTCGTCAACTCTCTACCTGAAGACGACCAAGAGACTCGGAACTACCTTGCGGAACATGCCAAGTGAGTACATCAGTGGTTGAAAATAAACTATCTAATGTTTAGACTATCAATTAATAAGTACATAATTCTTCTGATGATCTTAAATTATCAAAGCAGGCTTTTTTTATTCTTGGCCTAGAAAAAAATTTTGCAACAATGGTGCATTACGTGGTTAGTTTTTTCAATGACTCAAGTCTCTTTTATATTCTTTGATTTAATCTTCAAGCAAGTACATGAAAGTAACTTTCATAAATTGTAAGATTTTCTAACCAGTTTCATCTCTTCCATTCATCAAAGAAAGATTAAACTTGTTACATCCATCATCCATTCACCCAACATCATTTAATTTCACGATTTGTTGATGATCTTTTTTTTCTTGAACGACACACTCAATGATATTATAAGCAAATAAGGAAATTTTTAATATTTAATGTATGATTTCCCTGTGGTTTTTGGAACCTGTCAACATTAACCCTTTAAGGTCAATTTTTTGTATCTTTCGGCAAGTATAGGTTGCTATTTGAGTAGTAAGGAAACTGGCACTCGGTGACCTATACTTGTCATTCAACTGCAAATCCAAACTTTTTGATTTTTTTTATATAGGTCGTCATTTTTGAGCATTTGGGAAAATGGCGGGCGGCTACCTATACTCGCCATTTGACCGCAAAGGGTTATGTAAGACCCATAAATTTTGTATTGTATGCAACAAACACGTCCTGTTTGGAAGATTGAATTATAATTTTTTGCACAGGTTTATGAGGGAGATGAATGAGAAAGAGAGAGAGAAGGACGCCACAATCGCCCTTGCTCACCAGATACTGGCCAAGGCGCATCCAGACGCAGTGCCTATCATCAAACACTGGATCACCATCATACAGGCGCGCTGGGACGAGGTGTCTACTTGGGCTAAACAGGTACCTCCTCTGCTCCGTACACCTGTGTACTCGGTGATGTTTGTGCTCGCATAGCTGAAAGTAAGCTGGCTCGGGAGATTTCTTATCTTCACCTGAAATTTGGGTTGACACCAACATTGTTTGTGCAAGATGGAAATAAGAATAAAAATGTGTAGATTCAAGGAACATAGCCACAATATTGAAACCTACATTTTCTCTCTTTGATAGGAAACCTTACTGTTTGTTAACACTTGTACACAATGACCCCAAGCTTTTTTTTCGTTTCAATGTACTTTGTTACGATTTTTTGTGTGTTTACCTTTTGCCTTTGTCATTATCCCTGTTTACTAATTTCCAACCGTTAATTAGCTTATAAGTATGAGCCAGCTTACTTTTTTTAGATTAAATGTAAAATTAAATTATTTTCCTGTCCAGTGTCCATTATTTGTGCTGTGCAATTCTTTGTGTAATGTTGAATAATTTGGGAAATAGCCATTTTATGTCTTGTCAATGCATGTTTTTGGAAAACTTGGCATAAAAGAACTATATGGGGTGTTGAGGTTATAGAGCTGCATCAAGATTTCATAAACTATTGTTTAATATTTTAACATTTTACATGTAATTTATTTTGGGAATGACAATGAATTACCGATTGGTTTTGAGTTTAATAAGGTAATATTAAAAAGTAGTGTCTATTGTTGATGACAGTAGGATAATTATCTGTTGAGTCCTAAGTTCTGAAAGATGACTTTGTTATTGAACCAGCAAAAATATTGGTTAATGTTTTAGATGTGTTAGATAGAACTAACGCATGTAGTATCTGAAACGTTGACCAGTATTTTCGCCTGTTCAACAACCCAATCATCTTTTGAACTTTAAGATTTGTTGGTCTACCTTCTAATTTAAACATTTTGTAACCTAAACAGTAATATTCATTGTACATATTTTGATATCAAGGTGATGTCCAACTAGACAAAAATGATTGTTTATAATGGGGTTGCAGTGGGTGCCTTACTTGGTTGTAAAATAGTGTTATAGGTTCAACATGCTACAGAAGGCGGTCTGCAAGGTTTGTACGTTGGTTATAAAGCTTCTGCCGTTACTGAGTTTAATCAGCTGTTTAAGTAATCAAGTGACAAATGGCTTGCTTCAGCTGAGCTTTATACTAGAGGTTACGGAAACTTTTAACTAATGATGAAATGTGAAATTGTCAATGGTGATGGTGTTACTATTCGGTCAGCACTATACATGGATTTTTTGTTGTTCTAAATACAATTTTTATAAATTTTATGTTTAGGTCCTTGGTAAAATTAGGGTATGTATGTTGGTAATGTTATAAGGTTTTTTTCATAAAAATTGACTTATCAATATACAAATATTGACCAAATAAAATTAGAGTTTAGATTTGTGTAAAGGAATGTATAAAGTGTATTGATGTGTAAATTTTGTTCTTGAAAGTCTTTTCTCCCTAGATCTTGAATTTTGAATTTAAGAATGCAGTAGGTGTTTAAGAACACCATTTACTGTTAGGTTGTATTTTAATTTATTCAAACTCATCTGCTTTACAAATGTAGATAAAAAAAGCCAAATTCGGAAGAAAACCAAAGTTAGATTTTTTTGGTAAAGGGATAGGGTTCTGCTAGCTTACCTGAAAAATATAGAAATTTTCAAAAATGTATCCTTGATGAAGTTTGATATTAAGTCAAGTTGGGATATTTTGCACTTATCCATTCTATCTGCCTCATGTAATATTTTTGTGGCCTTTTCTATGTCTTATCATACCTCGGACTGTAGTTATCTCATGTAAGCTATCTAAATTGTCCCTTCTCAAAGAATATTCCAAATAAGCGAGTTTGACGAGTTTCTTTACTGAGTAAGAGAAGTGATACATATTTTGCATGTCTGCAGAGGGAACAAAAGCTGCAGCAACATCTGCAGTCGCTGCAAGACTTGGACACACTACTGGAGGAGTTGCTCGCGTGGTTGGCAGGACTGGAGTCTACGCTGATCACACTCGAGGCTGAGCCGCTGCCAGAAGACATCCCCACCATTCAACAGCTGATTGTCGACCATAACGAGTTTATGGAGAACACCGCCACTCGCACCTCTGAGGTAAGATACGAAACTTGTAGATGTAGTTTATTAATTTAACCAAAGAAAATAGGTATCAAGTTTGACTTCATAAAATTGGATATTTACAAATAGGATTCCTTCGTAGGTGACTGTTTTGTTGCTAACTTAATATTAAAGCCTTAAACGTCGTTATCAGCAAGCTTTGATTACATCAGAATAAATAATTACATATAACACACAACAAAGATGTCGCCATCTTACCAAATGTTTTTGGGAGTGGCAGTAGATTATTGCCGTTGTGACAAAAATTAGGAATGTAGTGTTAGGGTTTGTTTCCAAAAGTAAATAAAAAACCTATTTACCCTTTTTGAAAAATAAATCTTAAAGGGTACAAGCTGTTTTACAGGCTACAATAATAAACTTTCTTTAATCTTGTAAATACAGCAATTGTTCAACCTTTTTCAACACAAATTCCAACAAGATTTAAAATATCATTATGGTTTTTTCCAAATGTCATCTAAATTTTTATGCGATGGATACGATATAATTGTGCATTCTTCCACCAGGTGGACATGGTATGCAAGAGCCGTCAGCCGCCCGCACTCACCAAGCAAGAGAGCGCTCGTAAGATGTCCGGCAAGAAGATGAGCACAACTTCGTAAGTCAATTTGAAATAACGGGTTTACGGTGGTGGCATTACACTTAAGTTCAATGTGAGCTTTGTGTCGTAATCACTGAGCCACAGCGCTTTTTGCACAGTTAATTTGGTTTGTTTTGTATCAAAATATTAAGTTTGGGATTTACGATGTAACAATATGAGACGTTAAATATTATTTTAGTACATTTAGTTAAATTTTGAACTTTTACCAATTAGTATTTTTTATTCACGTATAATTCTTAGTTAATCCTTTATATCAAACAAACAGTGTGTAAGTAAGGGATTTACATTGTATAATGTTGTATAAAATTACTTTTGGTGTTGAGTAGATTATTCAACAGCTTTTACAACCTATAAGAGGTGGTTTGAATACCAAAACATACACTTTTTTGTATGTTTTAGTACGGTACTCATTGAGCTATTTTATTTTGACTTACCAAGTTTTATTTTAACTGTTTCTCAAAATTAAATATTTTTGACTCTTTGATTAGTAGTTGGTGTTTAAACAGTTCTTCAAATACTTAAAGTATTCTGAATGATTTATCTTTTAAGTTATGTTCACTCTCTTCATATTCTGTTAGATAAGTAACTAATTTCACTTTTAATTCACTTAACTTTTAAAATCCGATCACTTATTTTGCACCTCTCATTTTATCACTTCCATTTATAACACATTCATCCCTAACAAAAAACACCATTGGCCTACACAAAAATATTTTTAAGATTGTGAGGTACCAAATTTTAAGGGGGGTAAAAACGTACTGCGAATAAATGAACACCAGAACTTACCCGATCATTCAAAATAAATCACTTAAATGTGTTTTTTTTTTGTACTCAACAAAAATTATTGATCTATTTGTGCTACTTAATTTTTTTACAATAAATGTATTAATTTAATCAAATATTTTTGATGTTCCACATTTAAACTACTGTTCCAATGATTTTTAGTTGATAAAACAAGATTATTATGGGGAATTATAAGGATTGTTGAACCAAGCACCATAGGGAATTCATTTCAATACAATCTTAACTCACGTGTATCTTTTTCCAGCTAAATCTTTTTAGAAATCTCTGTTTATTCTATAAATTCACTATAAAGTCTGTGTACTGATTTTTTTATTTATTCATAGTACATTTTAAATTGTTAACATTTATCAATGTTTTTCCAAACCAGACATTTTCCCTGACTCCTGTCCCCGACTCACCTAACCTAACCTCACCACTGTTGTATGTTTGCACGCTTGACCGCTACTATTCCTAGCACTGTGTTTGTCCTTGCAGGGAAGACGTGCGCGGCAGCTCACAAGATCTGCACGACGTGACACGCAAAGCAAGGTGTGTTGTCGCACTACACGCATGCATCTTGTTAACTTACTATTGCGGTTATTGTTGTTGCCTGAATGTAACGATTAGGGTTTGGCATTGCATTGTTTTTTTATTCTTTTATCGACAAAAATGTTGGTAGAATTTTTTTTTATTTTTTTTTTATTAATCTTATGTTTTCTAGTACCGGTACATAAAAATTAGTTAAGTGTTTTACCTTTCCATATACTTCATCAAAATCTGTTTTTTTTAATTATTGATTTCTTTTGTGTTTTAGGCCTGAATGAAATAATAGTATTGACATAATGACGTTTTTACAAATTTAGAAATATTATATTATTTTAGTCACAAGTAGACTCCCTCTCATTCACAAACCTTGGATCCAAACTAAAAATGTCCAAATTGTCATTCTACAAAAATGAATAAGAACATTAAAATGTGTGACAAATTTTTCAAAGTTTATCCAAAGTTTTGAGTAAACTATATCCAAATCAAAGGTTGTCTACTTTACATATAATAATACAATTAATAACTACATAAAATGAAATAAAATATTTTGTTTACTGCTTCAATAAACAATTAGGTTAGGCTATATTCTATTCGACAAACATTTATTTTATTGCTATAATTATATTATATTGGTATTTTAATCACCTCTCAATTTTATAAACATGATTGTTCTCGTGTTTGTTAGCATGCTTTTTATGTGTTTATGTTGTGTGTGTTTGTCTTGACTTGTGTGTGTTTTGTTACCAGTTTGAAGGCATCAAGAGATAACTTGGCGGATCGTCGCGGAAGGTACATTTTTGTACTACTCATGTTTGCTTGGGTGGTATTGTAGATTGTCTAACATTGGCTGTTTGTGCCATTAACTTGTCGTTTTACTAAACTATTTCAATTACTAATACAACTTTTTGCTCAAAATTTAACCAAACATTTCCTCATTGCAATAACTATTGGGTTGATTGTGTTTAAACTGATATGGTCTTTTGTACGTCTGTAAGCGTATTTCTGTGCCCATTTTCATCGCTCTTTACCATTCAAAACCCTCCAGCAGTATTAAATTAACTGTCAAATTATGCTAAATTTTATGTTTCTGTTATTTTACCCTAATTTTGCATTTTAAAATTTTAACATCATGAATTTTTTTTACAAGTACTGTCTCTAAAAACTGCCAAAACGTTGTCTACGTAAAATTTTGCTCATCCTTACCCCTTTTTCTATAACTGTTTGGTTTTGTTATTTAAATAGAGTAATTAGATAACTTGCAAATTTTCGTATTTAAAAAGCCATAAACAAAGCAGCGAGTCATCTGAAGGTTAAATCGTAGAATCAAAATTCAACCCATGTAACAATGTATTAACCGATTGTTTGGGAATGAGGTACTTAATTTGGAATTGGAAGCAAGCAGTTTTAATCCTACGAAGTTGTATTCAAAACTACTTAACACATTTTAATTTCAAAAATTATAATTTTGAAACTTACCCTGCTTTTTGATCATTACTACTCAATTAAAGTAAAAAATATAACTTACTAATTCAATTTGCTGGACTCATATTTTTACAACTAATAAAAGTTTAAAAATAAAGTGCTTCCATGAAACATATTAACTTTTGTTAACCAAATCTGGTACCATAATTGATTATTTTTTAATTATTTTGTGTAATTGTTTTGTTTTATTTTAACAAAACTTGTGGTTTATGAAGAAGCTTATGACACAGTGGAGACAATGTGTGTGTGTGATTTTTGTTTTTTTTAGACATTTAACATAAATTTTATTGTAATAAAACCTCTAGTTCACTATGATCAAAATACAAATTCAAATTTAGTGAAAAATTCACGCTAATAAACTCAATTTCTTTTTTGGTCCACCCCATACAAAACTTTCAATCTAATATTCTTGTTGAAAATAAATTTAAAAAAAGATTTAACCAGCTGTTTAGTCGCTGATAGAGCTTAAAGTTTTTAGATTTTCATATTGTAGTTTAGATCATTCATAAATTAGTTTTAGCAAACAGTATTTACTTACTTGAAAACCCATAACTTCAACACTAAAAACCTAATTGATTTCAATGTTCAAAATAAAATATAGCTTTTTTTATCAAAATTGTGTGTTTTTGTTTTGCAAGTAAATGCTGTGGAATAGAAGTAAAACTAGCCCAACACACCCAGGAAAAACCAATAGTGGAGCAAATTTTCTCAAGTCCTGCATTCAGATTTAAATTATAAATTTTTTTCTGAGTAAAAAGCTCTTAGCTTCTGAATACTTTACTAGAGAATGAATCTGTACACAACTAACTTACTCAAGAAAATAGTTCTAGAGAAAATACAGCACTCTAAAGATTCACAACACAATTAGTTTTATATTGTTAGCCTCTTAATCATTGGTATTAAATAACTAAATACACATAATGATGAGTGTAGACCAGTCCGCCACATTGTATGTCTTCACACCTATTACTTTTAAATACTTTAGCCAATGTTTGTGTTTACGTGTTTTCGTCCCTACTGGGTTATGTATTCTCTTGTGTGTCTCTTATAAAATATACTGACAACAACTCCCATTGAGGGTTGAAACTTGTTGTCTGATCATGACAAATAATCTTTGACTAAAAGGATTACAACTAATTTGATATTTCGTCCTTTCAAGGGGACTTCCGCAGAGAGAAGTAGTAGAATAACCCTTCTCCTATCTCTTCCTTATGGAGAATTCCCTTCTCGAAAGTTACAAATATATTATAGTATTGTTAACTTTTTGTGTGCTCTTAACTTCCTGGAACTCTTTTCTTTGGTTGGATGTATATCTGTTTTACAACTTAACAATTTTCTATCATAATGTTGAAAAGTGTTGACTTTACTTTCTTGGGAAAAATGGAAAATTGTCATGGGATTCCAAACCTCATCAGGGAATCGCTCTACACAGTTGGTAGCCCTGGGTGTGTCGAGGTCAGTGAATGTAAGCGTAGTGGCATGCTTGTGTTTGTTTGTTCAGTCGAGCCAGCGTGACAACCCGTGATAAGCAGCCTGACAATCTGCCTCATTACGGTCCTCGGTTCCCACCTAAGGGAAGGTTGGTACACACTTCCTCACCTCATCTTAAGGTCACGCCTCGGTTATGCTTCAACTCTTTAGTAACGTTTTGAATGAGCTGATTCGGATTCTCGAATAGTAATTTGGAATCTATTTATTGGACATGATTTCAGAGTATCCTAGGATCGCAGAAAAATTGTTATTGTTTTTTTGCGTTTGTAGTGAATTTACTCACAATCAAGGCAATTTTGTGAATTTTTGATCCCACAATATTATTGTTAGTTTCCTTCCAAAAAGTTGCTAGATTAATGCAAATCTCACAAGAAAAATAGAATATAAATTTCCAAAACCTTTGCTATTGAACATCTCTGCTTTGGAAGATTCAGTTCAATTTTAATAGATAATCTTTTATGAAAACATAAGTTAAATTGTAAAGGTTGCTCTGTTATTGATTTAAGAAACCATTGCTCATTTTAAACCGATCTATTTTTATGTACGATACAGGTTTTTTATCACAGAAAATACTCATAAAATCATTGCTCAAATTTTATGATTTTTGTTTTTTGTTAAGCTTTGTCAGAGTTGAAGTTTGACCAAGGCATTCGGTTTTTATTTGCTTGGTTTTTACTTTGCTTTCTATTTTAGTCTTAAATGTTTTTGGGATGGTAATATGGTGCACCATAATTTCTATACTTTCTCAGTTTAGAAAATACTTAGATAGTGATTGCACTCTGGTTGTCTTCTTTATCTCTATTGGTTTTTAGTGTTTTTAATTTGTTTTGGTCATTTATGTATGCCATGTTCTTTAATGTTTTTGTACTGAATTGTATTTGTGTATTTCCAGTGAGTACGGTTTGTTTCATAAATTTGGTTTTAAAACTTAAAACTGTTATTGAACGTTTTTAATAGAATTTAGAAGCTACAATTTTAGTTAAAGATGAAGAAATTTTCATATTTTTAACTATTTGATATTGTAATAATATACATTTAACAAATTTCTAGTTAACATTGTTGAGAAATGTTAGTAAAAATATAATTTATACCAATTTTATTTTAACGTCTCCTTAATATTTTTTTAATTAAGGCCAACATTTTACATCCTATTGTCATTAGACTTAATGAAACAGCAATTCTTTTCAGTTGTCAATTAACTCACACTGTGATTTTAAATTTATATAAATTAAATACAATATTTTTCTTCCTTGATTTATGTCATCTAACAGTGGCATTATGCAACAAATAGTTTGTTGAAAATGTAAGGTAAAGAACAGCATAAGAATAGTTACATGTCCATTATATTGCCCAGATATGTTCTAATAAACAAGTTACTTCCTATTCCAAGACTTCATTTTGTTTACAACATGATTCCATTTATAACAAACAACAATGTACAACACCAGTACATAACAGCTGTTTACATATTCCTCGACTTGTCACACAGCAAAGGTGCCGAGCCAGTGTTCCGCAACCCGCGCTGTCGTCTGCTGTGGGACAGGTGGCGTCACGTGTGGCTGATGGCGTGGGAACGTCAGCGTCGTCTGCAAGAGCGGCTCACCTACCTGGAGGAACTGGAGAAGGTCAAGAACTTCTCATGGGACCAGTGGCGCAAGAGGGTGAGTCGTGTTGGAGTGTGAAATTAGAGAAAAGCTTCTGTGTAGTGTATGACTTAATAATAATGTTTGTAAATATTTTTGCTGTATGATGGAGTCAGAGTTTAAATTCTAGTTGAAGCTTGAGTGAAGGTTTGAATGTTCACAGTAATCAATCTTCTTGATCTAAAAACTAAGAAACAGGAAATGTTCTTGGCTTGTTTCGTCTCTTTGTGTGTTGATATAAATATCAAATTTAGTTTAACTCCTCATCATCATGATTATGATTATGATGTTTTATGTTCTGATATTTGGATTTCTTTCCTCCACAGTTCCTCAAGTTTATGAACCACAAGAAGTCACGTCTGACAGATCTGTTCCGCAAGATGGACAAGAACAACGACGGACTCATCCCGAGGGACGACTTCATCGACGGAATCATCAAAACCAGTAAGTTATTGATTGTCTAATTTGAAGGTTTTGTAAAATTTATATTCCACGTAATTCTGCAACAATTTCTAAATCGGAAAATATTTTGTAATAAATGGAACATAAAAAACAACAGTCAAAACTATTCCGATGTCGTTCATCCTTACTAAAACAAAACACGTTATTAATTTTCTTAAAATAATTCTTCACTAAAAATTAGGGATGGACGGGATTGAATTTTTAGTTCGGGACGGGACGGGACGGGATTTTTATTTCCTTCCCGATTTTCGGGACGGGACGGGACGGGATTTTTTTTCTATGCATAAAAAGAAAGTACTGTATTGCAGTTACCAAAAAAGACATACGAAATCAATTTTTACCATTTGTGGCACTGATCTATAAAAACCAAAAAATGGGTAACAATTTACAGGTACCTATAGAAACTTGTGACTCGCGGGTCACGGGGTGATCGTCTGTATGACTCACGGTCACGGCGCGATCGTCGTCATGACTCGCGGTCACGGCGCGATCGTCGGTATGACTCGCGGTCACGGCGCGATCGTCGGTATGACTCGCGATCACGGCTCGATCGTCAGAATGACTCCGCGGTCACGGCGCGATCGTCGTCATGACTCGCGGTCACGGCGCGGTCGTCGGTATGACTCGCGATCACGGCTCGATCGTCAGAATGACTCCGCGGTCACGGCGCGATCGTCGTCATGACTCGCGGTCACGGCGCGGTCGTCGTCATGACTCGCGGTCACGGCGCGGTCGTCGTCATGACTCGCGGTCACGGCGCGATCGTCGTCATGACTCGCGGTCACGGCGCGGTCGTCGGTATGACTCGCGGTCAAGGCGCGATCGTCGGTATGACTTCGCGGTCACGGGGTGATCGTCGGTATGACTCGCGGTCACGGCGCGATCGTCGGTATGACTCCGCGGTCACGGGGTTATCGTCGGTATGACTCGCGGTCACGGCATGATCGTCGGTATGACTCGCGATCACGGCTCGATCGTCAGAATGACTCCGCGGTCACGGCGCGATCGTCGTCATGACTCGCGGTCACGGCGCGGTCGTCGTCATGACTCGCGGTCACGGCGCGATCGTCGGTAAGACTCCGCGGTCACGGGGTTATCGTCGGTATGACTCGCGGTCACGGCATGATCGTCGGTATGACTCGCGATCACGGCTTGATCGTCAGCATGACTCCATGGTCACGGCGCGATCGTCGGTAGGACTCCACGGTCACGTCGTGATCGTCCGTAGGACTCCGCGGTCACGGCGCCATCGTCGGTATGACTCGCGGTCACGGCGCGATCGTCGGTAGGACTCCGCGGTCACGGCGCGATCGTCGGTATGACTCGCGGTCACGGCGCGATCGGCGGTATGACTCGCGGTCACGGCGCGATCGTCGGTAGGACTTGCGGTCACGGCGCGATCGTCGGTAGGACTCCGCGGTCAAGGCGCGATCGTCGGTATGACTCGCGGTCACGGCGCGATCGTCGGTAAGACTCCGCGGTCACGGGGTTATCGTCGGTATGACTCGCGGTCACGGCATGATCGTCGGTATGACTCGCGATCACGGCTCGATCGTCAGCATGACTCCATGGTCACGGCGCGATCGTCGGTAGGACTCCACGGTCACGTCGTGATCGTCCGTAGGACTCCGCGGTCACGGCGCGATCGTCGGTATGACTCGCGGTCACGGCGCGATCGTCGGTAGGACTCCGCGGTCACGGCGCGATCGTCGGTATGACTCGCGGTCACGGCGCGATCGGCGGTATGACTCGCGGTCACGGCGCGATCGTCGGTAGGACTCCGCGGTCACAGGGCGATCGTCGGTAGGCTATGACTCGCGGTCACGGCGTGATCGTCGGTATGACTCCGCGGTCACAGCCCGATCGTCGTTATGACTCCGCGGTCACGTCGTAATCGTCGAAATGACTTCGTCTCCTGCGTTCGCGGACCTATCGCTCACAATAACGGCGTTATCGGCACTCGCGAAGCGGAAAAATTGCCGACGATCGGACCAAATCCCGTCCCGAAAAATTCCCGAGTCAAATGTAATCCCGTCCCGATAATCGGGAATATTTTTTTCCCGAAAAATTCCCGAAATTTCGGGACCCGTCCATCCCTACTAAAAATCATAACAAATTATAGTATTGACACATAATTACCCTAACAAATTAAAAGAAGAGGATAATAAATAACTACAACTTAAAAAATAGCACAGAATAGTTCTGCGAAAAATAATTGTAATCGCATTAGCGTTTTCTCTGTTTCTCATTGACTTTTTTTGTCCGCTTTTTTGTCATATACAAATCTTTTGGCCTTTTCTAAACACTTTTCTCATTTTCCCTGACCGTAATAAGTTTTGCCGACCTTTACTCACTTCCCAGATCCATTAGTTCCCGTTGTGAAAAAAACTCAAAGATCTCCCTAAAACACACTATTTTAAAGCCTTCAACATCTATTTACCTAAATTTTGTGATTTACAGAATTCGACACAAGCAAAATGGAGATGAACGCAGTGGCCGACATGTTTGACCACAACAACGAAGGCTTCATCGACTGGAAGGAGTTCATCGCGGCGTTGCGGCCCGACTGGCAAGAGAAGCCCCCCACCACCGAAGCTGAGAAGATACACGACGAAGTCAAGAGGCTTGTTATGCTGTGTACTTGCAGACAGAAGTTCAGGGTGTTCCAAGTGGGAGAGGGCAAGTACAGGGTGAGTCAGTACTTCAATTCTTGCTGTAGGATTAGTTTGGTTGTAACCTGTTTTGAGGTTAACAAGGTCTAAGTAATTTAGCAATTCAAAGCATTATTTGTGTTTTCTATAGTTTTGTGTAATCTAAAATGGTTTTGATGTAGATGGATCTATCAAAACCATTGAAATTTAAACTATAAACTCGCACATGATTTGAAAACTAAAATTAAACAACAAATCATAAAATGAGATATTCTGTGTATTTGTTGTTATTTTACTAGTTGAACTATTTATCGCCAATTTTACTGACAAGCATTTGTATGATTTTCTATTGTTCTTCTTGTTAATTTTTATCAAACTTATAATATACATAGTAGAAAATACATTATGTGGCTGGATTTAATTCAGTAAAAAAATGGGCATTTACTTCAGTTAATACTATTTTTTTTTGTAATTTACTTACCAACACTTTTGCTATTACACCTTGGAATAAAAATATTTTTTTGCCCTCATTTGCTCAGCATATTTAATTCGTAGGATCCAAGATACTGACTGCTTCTTGACACAATTAGCAACCACAGTGAATGTGTGAAAAATATTTCCTGCACATGTAAATGTTAACTGTACTGCAAATAATAATTTTAAAAATTATAATAAATCAACGTTAGTTAAATTTATTGTTAACATCTATTAACATACTAGTTTTTCCTTGGTTTCACACAACTTTGTGCATTTGACAGTTCGGTGACAGTCAAAAGCTGCGTCTGGTTCGTATCCTGCGCTCGACTGTGATGGTCCGTGTCGGCGGAGGTTGGGTTGCGCTCGATGAGTTCCTCGTCAAGAACGACCCGTGCAGAGGTAAGCTCCAGCACTTAGTGGGAACTCTACAGACGGTGGTATCTGAATGTAACTGGCTGGATTCATACTTTACGCTTCATTCATTTTTGTTGTATATTCAGCGCTCGAATATATTAAGAAGAGAGAAAACTATAAGTGTAAAAAGTGTCCAATGTAGGCTCATTTTATTAAATTTTTTTGGTTCCATTCGTATTGTGTTTTTATATCAGTATAAATTCCAAAACAAAACTAGAAAGTTCAAACATAGAAAAACAAAAAAAGTAATAATCAGCTGATGTTAGGATTTCTTTTCAATCTCATTACAAATTGTTACGATTTTTTTTACATTGGTTATATTTTTATGATTTGGTCCTAATTTTTAAACCCCCGTTTTTAATTCATACAAGGTAACTAACATTACCTATTTGTTTATTCCGTTTTGTTGTTGTTTTTTATTAGAAAAAATAAATTATTCTTTCTACACTTCTTGCGCTCCATCGTTTCTTTCGGGAACTACAATTGCTGTCTCTTTCATAAAATCCTTTTCTACCAAGAGATAAAATCCTGTTCTTGTTATAGTTGATGCAAATACGATTTGTAAATATTTGCATTGAATTTATATAAAGAATTCACAACTTAACAAATAACAATGAACACGTAAAAAAACTAAAATATGAAAACACACATTAATCAACAACAAAAAATCAGCTGATATGACAATCGTCCCTTCCTTTACAACGTCATAAATTGTTTGCCTTAAATTGTATTTTTTGACTCGTTATTAAGGGAAGCGTAATTTATCACTCTAGCCAGTGTTGGGGTAGTCACAGACACTTTAGCAGGGCAAGCTTAACTGGGCCGATGTAGTCGACACCTCACGAATAGATCACTCAAATGACGCATGACTACGGACAATGCAATTAAACATTGTCTGAGGAAATCTGCTCCAAAAGGGTACTCTAAAGAAACGTATACTCAATTTATTTCACCAAAGTTAAATAAATTGATTAAACCAAGGTTGAGTCTAATGATTCATTGTTGATACCTCAGAGTATGTTGGTCTAACAATCATGTTTTTTTATAAATGATTTGAGAAGTACTGCAAAGAAAGTTTAGTATTAATTTTACTTGGTTAAAACCTTACTTTACATATATTTAGCTAAACTCTTATTCTTAATGTGTTACAACAGCAGAAATATATTTTTTTAATATGTTAACAAACTAATATTATATTACTCTTCTCATTAAGCTTTTAAAACTGGGATAGTAACAACTTGCAAAATCTCACCCTTACTTACAGTTGGGTGCATGGCCCTAGTATAATGAATAAGAGTAAACTGTTAATTTAACTATTACCTTCACGTAGTAGATTAACTTATGGTAATCACAACTATTGTTAGTAAGTAACTTTGCACCTCTAAGTGGCTAGGTTGAGCCAGCTCTTAAAAGATAACGGTTGTATTCAAAGTGTTCAAGTTCTTCATCTATCATAAAAATGTGTTAAATAACTCCCTGATCAATATTTTGAGTAACATGCTGTTATACTGACATAAAAAACGTGTATTTTAACACTTTTAAATACATCTACAATCATACTGTACACATTTAAAAGAGAAAAAATATTTTTTATGTTACTTTTTAGGTTTTTGACAAGTGACATTGGTTGTCATAAAGCTTAAATGGAAACGGAGAGAATCAGTAGTATCCAAGCAAGGACGTCATTTTATTTTATAGTCTTTGTTTAGGCTTTATGATTGGGGTTACCCAAAATAAATAAATCACTATAATATATTATATAAATCACTATAATATTTTCTATACATTCACCATTTTGTCAGTGTTTACACAGTACCAGTGGATTTATACAGCAAAGTGTAGAAAGATGTATTTTACTATCCTTATAAAAACATGTTGACGCTTTGATTACAAGTTTGACTACAGTATCCTAATCAGAAGGGCCTCAAATGAATTTTTAGATTCACAAAACTTTAAGTACTAAGATGATAACATTTTTCCCGTTGATTTTGCCTCTAAGTTTTATAGAGCTGGCTCGACCTAACTTACACCAAGGTAATATTTAATAATATTAATATTCCAGCGGACTAGCTTGCTCGGGGGCTTCAGATTCAGACTCTACCGCCATTCTCACCACTCGTTGTGTAATACACTAACTGTACCAGGAGTCTCGACTGTGCCTCTGCCTCATGGAGATTTCACTTTTGACAAGTTTATTTCGTTCCGAGAATTGTTACTCTTAAAACTCTTGAACTTATCTCCATGTTTGCCGTAGTAAACTGAAAATGAGGTTGGAATGGAATGTTAAGATTTTCACAATTAGGATAACATTTTTTGAAGGGAATAAAAAATAACCTAATTTGATTTAGGTTGTGAGGTTAACCTGAAGGCGTTCATGTGTTGGAACGCTTAAATTGTCTTTCAATCTTTGTGAGCTTCACACTTAGTGTGTGATATTTTACTGAGACAAAAAAACATGTCAAATCCAAAATGAAATTATATATGCAGTAGTTTGAGTTTTCTTAATGTAGAAGATGAACTTAAGGTATCATGATACGGCCTACTTGTTTAGTAGCATCATCATGTTTTAACAAAAAGCGATTTTAGTTCAAGGTCGTTTGATCTCATAATGTTCAACATAAATTTTCCAAACTTTAAATTAATGAAAGTATTTTTTTTTATTCAGAAGCATTATCATAAACTTAGATCCAATGCCTCACAAGTAGATTTAAAATTAATTGCAACGTTGAATTTCCTCAAAATATAATAGTTAGCATAATAGTCTACATTCTAACCTTATTTTCAGAGTGAACTTATGGTTTCAACATATACATCTAAAAAATTAAAAATTTCCAACCACATTCAGCTAGAATTGGCTATGTAGCAGCTTACTGTAATGACAACTGCAACGATAAATCATACAACTTCATTCGCAGAGGCACAGTCTAGAATCATTGTGGGTGTCAGCGGATTAATATTGTTTGTCCTTTCTCCCCCCTCCTCTCCCTACCATTACCCCCACTTTCATTCATTATCGGTTTGCATGGCCGTTGTTGGAATGTGCCCCAGTTGAGATGCTGCCGATCCCGAACCCCTTCGTACCAGAAGAGCATGAGCCGTGGTGCCCTCTCGGTATACTACAAATCATGTGTAAATATTTGTCCGTTTGATTGTGAACCTCACCGCTAGCTTTCACTGCCACCTGTTTGAAGAATTTTGATTTTTGTTTTCACGTACAACTTTTTTTCAACAATTTGAGAGAAGCTATAAAATTTACTAATAGTAAAGAACGTTTTAAAAAAATTCCTGTTTTAAGGGTGTTTTGGCTGCAGAACATTTATTTGAAAAAGCTAATATAAATTTCTTTGTATTTTGCCATGGTTAAAAGACTTGTACTGTTATCAGTCTCATACGTAATAGTCTTTTTATGAACAATACAGTACATTTTTTCAGCGAAAATACCAGTAATTTAATTAATTAGGATATTGAATCCTACGTCTCAGCACTCACCCACTATTGCAAATGATCTGATTTGCAGCAAATACAACAATAACAACTGTCTTGAAAACACAGGCTTTTTCATACCAAACAATACTCCCTTCAGAGTGCCAATACAGTGTGCAATACAGGCTTTTTGTAAGGAAACAATACTCTTATCTGAGTACAACAACAACACAAACAATCAACAAAACAACACGGGCTCACCAACACAATACTCTCTTGAAATACTCTCCACAGCACTACTAGTTCCATAGCTCCATAGCTACAACGCCAACAATAAATCCGACAAGAAAGATTTTTTAAAACAAACCTCACCTCTGAATACCTTTTAAAAATGTGTGAAATATCAAAATAACTATTTTTGGAGAAAAAGACAAACCAAGTACTGCTACTTAAAGTTTTTGCGCAAGCAGGAAGTTTTCATACGTGTGTTTCGAACTATTCTTATTTTATGTTTTTTCTTAATGTTGTAAATATTAATTAACAAGATTGTAAAGCTATTACAATGTTTTCTATTGTACATATTTACCGCAACAACAGGTGTTTTCACTTTTTCGGTTTGGTGGTACTGAATGCCTGTCTCAGAATGAACCTTTCACTTCCTGGGTTGTTCCTTCCTCACCATTTAAGTTTCCCGCATGTCCCTATGAAGATCTGCACTTCTTTAATGTGTTATTCTTTTTTTTATTTCCCATTGTGGTTTTTGAGTCATTCTTTTTTTTTATTTAATTTTTCATTCTGTTTTGTTACTAACATACGTTTGAATGTAACGTTTCATCTGTGTTCTCCTACCATTGTTTTTGAGAGAAATCTAAATGTGTTTACGCTTGTAAATACTCATGCATCAAAGTAAGACCAACCATTTTCAACCAAATGGAAATCAATTCAAGTCATTTTCATAAATAACCTAAAATACAACGTAAGTTTAACGCTACCACTCCATCATCTATCCTTCCACTTACGACCTTGACTCTAAGAAGTGCAGAAGTCCGCATGACGTTTCCTAGATGCATCAGGCGCTGTAATGGGTTTGTACAAACTTCTGGGTTATCTCGCATGTTTCGTAGGTAGACGTAACAGTTTTGGTTTTGGCTTTTAACATTTTCAGTTTACATGATTTGGGCTGTTTTAGGTTAAGTTGTGCAGTGTACACTGTAGATGTTATTTTAAGTTTTGTTTATTTTCCACCGAGTGGTGAATGCGTAGTTTAGTGCCATTGAACACCGAACGCCAACGCCTTTGGTGTTAGTTGTTGTGCGTTACATTGTGTTCGGCATGCTGTTTTTATTTGCTTTGTTTTATTTTTCTAATCAACGGTACTCCGACAGTTTTGTTTAGATTTTTTGATAAATTTCTTCTAGTAAATTTTAAAGAGAGTTACATAATATACATTGTGCTTAGATAGACAGTTAGTTTCTCCTAAATTCATTAAGATTTTAAATTTATTTATATAGATATTTTTGACTAATGACACTTTTTCTCTCAGATAAGGTCAAATATTTCAATTTCATACCGACAGTTATTTTGTTGTTCTATTAAATTTGAAGAATTAAAATGCCTCGAGAAGTATTTGTACTAATTCCACATTTTGCAAAACAAAGTTATTGAAAGAAAATATTTCAACTGCATTTAAATGTGTGTATAACACTGTAACACCATTTATTTAAATTTTTATCGGCATTTTGGACACTCAGTTTCCCAATTCTTTATTTAAATCCAAACTTTGAAAATTGTTTCTGAGATAACTTGAGTTGGCATTTTCACACTCCCTCATATCTTATTTAATTACAACTCTAGGTTATTGCTTGGAAAATTCAATTTGACATTTTAGAGACGCAAAATTTGATCCAATTCTGATTTAAATTGAACATTTTTAAAATTGTTTCTGAGATTATTTTGCTAGAAATATTGGTCACCTAATTTTAACCCATTTTTTATTCAAATTCAAATTTTTTAAATTATTCCTGGACATTTTAAATTGGAAATTTGCTCACTCAATTCTTTTTAATCTGAAACAGAATTCTCTAATAAAATTACTTTACACCAAACAGTAGCCGAATGTCAATAGTACACGGCCAGTAATTCAGTTAATGTGGTAATGTCGGAGTGCCGGTGTGTATCGCACGTCCACTGATCCCCCCCCCTCTCCCAGCCAAGGGCCGCACCAACATCGAGCTGCGGGAACAGTTCATCTTGGCGGATGGAGTGTCGCAGAGCATGAGCGCCTTCAAGCCCAAGGCGAGTCCGTCCAGTCGTAGTGTCAGCATCAGCAGTGGATCGGCTGGTCCAATCACCAAGGTACGCACTTCCTCTAACATTAACATTCAACGCTTAACTGTTAAAATAGGTGTCGTAAATTTAAATGTGAGCTCAACAATTTAAGTTTTGGCAGAAAAACTATCAGTTCAAATAACTTGATTCAGATAACTTGAATGAAAATTTATTGGTTCATTTTATACATCCTTTTGCTACTAGTTTATATTTGACCCAAGAACATAAAAAATCTAGAACGTATTTAGTGTACTCTGTGAAACCTACGATCTTTACTATAGCTGGTGAAGTTAGCGTTTGAAACACGTTTGATGATTTAGTAGAATTGCCTTTGGAGAAAATCAAATCACACACTCACCTAAATTCCAAACTTTACAATGTCATAAGATTACTTAGACTAAATAAATGACAAATGATAGAAAATTACTTTTGGTTTTTTTTTGTGACCAACATTAAGGGAAAATGTCCATTTACTATTGTATCGGTCATGTTGACCCAAACCTTTTCTTAATAATTTACTAAACCACAACACATTAATTTGCTTAGGGCATTCAAGCCTTCTTTAGACTGTTTAATTTTGCAAACTTTCTTTTCTGAAGTTCTAGTCTAAAGGATGGTAAACAGGCTAAAAAAGTGTTTAACTTGTTCATTTCTTATACTAAGCAAGTATTCTTCTTTTAAAGTTGCTCTTAATCTTGATTTAACAATTATTAAACCTAGTCACACAACATTACATAATACCTCTGCAACAACCCTTTACAACATTCTGGAAACTTTATAAATAAATTAGTATACTCAGTAAATCTGATACCAACACAAGAATAAAATATTTTGCCATCCATAGATATCAAATAAATCGTATATTAGCTATGTCAATAATGTAACATACGTAACAAGAGCTTTTAAGGATTTTTAAGATGTTTCAAGAGGTTTTAATGATTTTTATCAGGCTAAGCAGCTTAACTGAATGGGAAAGACTCCATCCTGAGCCAAGAAACACAAAATTACACGATACATTAAAGTATATTACTGTACCAAGGTTTAAGGAAGAATGACTATCTTAAGCTGGAGGCAGATAAACATTTTAATTGTTGTGTAAAATGTTTGTGTTTTTTTTTTACAATGGACTCTTCCCTATCCAGATAAGCCTACTCCCAACAAAATTATAGGGATTACAGTATTAAGGTGTATAGGTCACCCAAAATTGAGACATAACCGCGACAAAACAAAATGTTTTTGCCTTAATTGTTAAAAGTGTTCAACTAACAAGTGTGTGCTAGTCAGCTAGTGTTAGTGTTAGTGTAGAGTAGTGTGTGTAGTGTAGTTTAGTGCTCAGACCCCCGAGGACCCCTGCTGCGGCGACCGAGGTAAGTGTGTGTGGTGGTGTGACCTTCTTGACACCAGTGTTGAATGCTCACTCCGCTTCATTGGACACTTTGGCATCCCACTTAATTTTATCCTGTACTTTTCAGTTGTCCTCTTCTTTCCATCTGTGTCTTTACCTGTTTCTCTAGGCGAAAGGTTGTTAACCGATTTGTGTTTCAGTGGTAAAACGTTTGTTTCTCAGCACTAAGTGTTCGTGTTAGCACCGCGTGGATAAATGTTTGTCGTAATACTGTTCTCTACGTTTTATACCAAAAACTGTTTTGTGAAACTAATGTTGGTAAAAGAAATATCCGTTCTCACTGGCTTTTACACAACTATTATCTTAAATTTCAATCTCAAACTTTCTGACACAATCTGAAAACCAAACGTAGGTCGGATAGGTAGAGTCTGTGCCGAGCAAGCAGTCCGAACGTGTGACTGTTTCGCTCACTGTTCAATGTCTCTAGCCGAGGAGGTTCTGAACATTCTGATGCCGATATTCGAGACGTTGAGGCAACAAGAGTCATTGCCTTGTTCCTACCCGTTGGCTATGGGTGGCCGGCAATCCATGGGTATGGGTATGCCCATCACGGCAGCTTACACTTGCTCTGGGGGTCACTGGGTAAGTTCCGACTGTTCAACTTCTTCTCTGGTCCAGGTAACCTAGTTTGGATAGTGAGGTTAATAACCAACTACTTAGTTAGGAAATAAGTTAGTTTAGGTTAGATTTAGGTTAGCTGCAAAATAGTTTTATAGAGATAATCTAATTTAGGTATGAATAGTAGCCGTACTTCTACATTTTTGGTTCAGGTAACTTAAATCCGTTAGGTTAGATCAAAAATAGATTATTGTTAAGGTTGAGGAGTATTTAAATAGCGGGAGATCCTTTATACTTGGAAAAATAGTTTCAACATCTACTTGAATAGGTAACCTAGGTCAATTCAAAGGAGTTAAGAAAAATGTTAGTTTAGGTTTAATGTTGAACAAATTCAAATAATACAATTCAAGTAGTACAATAGTTTGGATGTGAAGAATAGCTTTATCTTAACATCTCTGGTTCAGATAACCAAGTTCATGTTTAGGGTAGAGTTACATATGGTAGCATTTTTCATAATGGTTTAGAAAAAAGCTTTAGTTAGACATATTTAATAGCTCAAACTTATAGGTTACTGATGAGAATATCAAATAAAACATTACATGACAGATTTTTGTTTTCACACTTGCCGTGGTTCGCTATAAAATGATAGTGGTACTTTATGTTGATGTAGATTAATGGTGGCTGGTCCATTTACCTTTGGATATTGAACCAGATATATGACATATATTGACCAGCTGTAGCAATTGTTCATTCAATGAGATATAGTTGAACAAGCCAAAGCCTGCTACTATTCAAGATTGATTTTCTAGATTTTGAACCATGGTAGCTACCATGGTTCAAAATCTAGAAAATTCTAGAGAATTCCCATTAGCTAATGGGAATATAAATTATCTAAAGTTTACAATAAATAACCTGTTCAGTTTTACCTGGTTAAATTTGCTTATAATAAAGATAACTGTAATCAGTGCACCTGTCTGTGGCTGAATTAAACACAAAGTTTTTTTTTTAATTCTTAAATTGGCTACAACTCTAAAATTATATTCAAAAAAGAATTTATACTTGAGTCCTGGTTTGATTATGGTCAAAATAAAAAAATAAAAATAAAACACTATCTTTGGAAATGCCTTTCAACCCCACAAAATACATATTTTGTGTATCTTTTATTGTCATAAATCCTTCTATTTTTCTTATGACTAGTTTCAAGGCTTAGGGTAGTAGATCTTAAGCTACCTAAGTTTAGATGAAGCGACCTGAGCCTTGAAACTACAATTATACTGACAGAACCTACATTATAAGGATTTAGCCAAATAGGCTATACATATTTAAGTCAAATTTAAGTCTATGGTTAAAGTCATCTGAATCACCTTTGAACTTTCAATAGCTAGAGATTTTATCCATGCCAAAAATAAATAACAATGTAGCCTATTAATTTTTCCCCAAATAGATTCTTAAAAAATTTACAAACCGGAATTTTTTACAGTTTTAACTAAAGATTTCCACATGTAACCGTCATGGTGTGTGACAGGTAAGGGAGCGCAGTGCTCGCAGTGTTCCGATGGCCAGGTCCGGTCGCATGTCAGGAACTCCTGACTCACTCAGTGACAACGAGAGCTCGCCACTGTACTCCCGCACTCCCAGGAAGGTGTCTACGCCCAGCGGACGACGGTCCAGTCTCACGCCAGGTATGTACATCACAAGAAACATAAATGTGTAAATCAGCAACTTTTAGAAAATAAAATAAACCACGTTGCAGCAAACGAGCAAACCTGCAGACTAAGCAGATTTCCATTTATCTGATTGGATTTTCACCAAAACATTGCCTTAAACTTGTCGCATTTGTTATGAAAGAAAGTCAAGTTTTAAGGGAAAGAAGTCAGAGTGGTGAAGTATTTGGTTTTGTACAGGTGGCAGTCTGCCTGGTAGTCGCAACAACAGCCGACCTCCCAGCCGCACTGGCAGCAAACCTCCCAGTCGTCACGGCTCCAACCTCTCTCTTGCCAGTTCCGGTAAGTTTAGTATGTTATATTCTAAAAGAGTAATTATTTTTCTCAAAGTTTCAAACAATGATTTTTATGTACCTTTATTACTGTGCTAGGTTTGATTTAGCTTTTTTTCTGCGGGGAATACCAATTATTGATATGTTGGAGCCAAATATTCAGTTTTCCAAATCCAAAGTATCCAAAGCAATGCTATTCATTAGGCATTCATACTCATTGAAAGAAATTATTGATGAGTCGATTAGTTTCACAAGAAATTCAGTCTTGTCTGATATTAAATTTTTAAGTGGTTATAATTTTCAGATTAGGGTATCTGCTATCCTGATCCCTACACTTTTTTCAACAAAAGTTTCAGTTCTAAATCAAATTCTGGAATTCAAGCTCTTGTTTAAAAAAAGTTTTCCCTTATACATTAACATTTTCAAACATAAAAAAAGTTTTACGTTTGTTTAACTTAAAACAACTTATCATGCTATCAATGAAGTTCATACATTTAATTGACATTGTTTATACCAGATGATGGAACACCTAGTCGTATCCCGAGGAGGTCGTTGACAGGGACACGCTCGGCCAGTGGGTCGGCCACGCCGCGCAAGCTCACAGTACCGACCCTCAACGGCAGCGCGAGTCGTACGAGATCACCGTCCGGCCTCACCACTTCCTCCGCATCAACGGCGTCTGCTAGGTGAGTCTGTGTAACTCTGGCAGTCAGTCGGGCATCACAGTAATATTGATTATAACCATTTTATATTAGAGTAGGCAGTTGTTTAAAACTCCTACAATAGTGTGTGAATTAAGGTGTCCAAAAAACTCCTCACAGAACAAGATTCATACTTGACAGAGCCTTGAACCATTGACTATTGGATACTGAAGTAGACATCCCATCTATACGGATCAGCTGTCGCCGATTTGTATTCAGAAAGAATATTAGTTGAGTGAGCCAGTCACAGAAAATTCTATTTCATACCTTATTTTTTGTTGCTACATAGATGATGGGTCATATCAGTTGCAATAGCTCACAATAAGTCATTCTATTAGTTTGATTTGGTAAAAAGTACATATATTTTAACAGAAATTTTAATTTGGTACTTTAGGTCAGCACAATCTGTTGGCGGCTCACATCAACTACGAAAATTTTTATTTAAAAAAACTGGTGACAACTTGAACATGGGGATGGAATGTCTTGTTGTATTAATAGTCAAAGCTTTAATTTTTCCTCACATTGTTATAGTGTACTCATCAAGACTTGTTACTTAAGGGGTTGGGAGTGGCAAAAAAAAGTGGTGGATAAAGTTAAGAATACAGCTCCCGTTTCAGATTTGAACTTAATCCCTTAGCAACGATGGAAGCTTCTTGGACACCTTATTTTACAGATAATACTTGTATGAATTCTGTTGGTCAGCAACATTGCATAGTTCTCATACTATAATTTTCATCTGGGTTACTTTAGAGTATGGTGCATGTGTCTAAATAATCATATAGAACATGGAGAAAAATTTACAGTGGAGATTTTCATGTTTGTAAGGGAAGAATAACAATAAATTCCTTTAAAAATTGTTAAAATCATTGTGGATGACTTGATAAGAATTATTCAGGTATTTCTTAGTGGAAGTTTATTTTTAAGTGTAATTTAGCTTATACTAAACAATAACTAAAACATCATTGGTTTCTAACCCAATAACTTATTTTTTACTTTTGACAATTGCAACTCATCTTTTTATATTTGGATTGACCACAAAATTAACATTTTCAACCCACTTTCATTCAAGCGGTTAATAATAGCGTATTGGAAATTTTATTGATATAACATTGATGCTAAAACTATTTTACAGCATATGTGAGGTAGGGTTAAAATTATTAAAGTTTTATACAAAAAATAAAGTATTCAACTCGTGTTGGTATTCAGTTTTTTGAAGCCAGACTATTTATCTGCTCAGCCAAAAATATAATGCAATTGTCTCAATTGCACCTATATTTCAATTTTTTTTTATGTAAATTAAGAACGGACCGTTACATACATTATTATGTGATAGTTACATTCTATTCTAATGTAGATTTATTTTTCAGTGATAAGTAAAAAAGTTTTTTGACATTTAGAGATCTTGAATCTGCCCCTTTTCAGCTTAGAAGAAATGTAGAAATGGTAGAAAATAACACAATTAGCCCTTTAGAGACCTGTAATTGCTATATTATATGACGTGCTGCGTAGGACCGGGGTACTTTTAACAGTTTCTGCGATGTTATAGAAAAATTCTATAACTTTTGAATATCAGTCCTCTTTAACATTTCTTGCATGCTATTCTTGATTTTTTAACTTTTTAGATTTTTTTTTTATAATTGTTTATTTAAAATGCCAATATATTGTAAGTTGGTATTTTTAGCAAAAAATACTAACTACCGAAAAATCGGAAGTTGGTCCCCTAAGGGTTTACTAACCCGGGCAGTGCTGGGAAACACTGTAACTGAAAACAACAAACACTGTCCGGGTTTGTGCCTCAGTGGTGATACTATAGTTAAGCCTGATTCCAGATGTTAAAATATTTGGTTACTTCTAAAACAAAAAAAAATAGTCAGTCCCTAATCTTAAATCAGTAATGAAAAATATCATAAATAATACCTTAACCAACATCGCCAAATGTAAACGTTATAACTTTAATTTTTAAAATCTATACTTTATTCCATGTTCACTGTACAGTACGAAGCCGTCCTAACATCAGGTTCCATAAAAATTCTTACACTTTCTTTGAATTTTTCTTAAATTTGTTGACTATTTTACCTATTTTGGCTATACATAAGCCAAAACAAATCATAGTGTAAAAACACCAAAGTTTGAAAAGCAGGTACATAAATTAGTAAAATGTACTTGAGCACCTTTACGAGGGTCGAGACAGTTGGCGCAACCTGTATGATGATAAACATGTCTTCAGTAATATTAATAGTACAATTATCTCCCATAAAACTGTGCGGTGAACTTGGAATCAGGTTTGTTAGTGTAGTAGTGATGGGGCACTAACAACTAATGTCTAACTCACTAATGTGGTTGTCAGGTCGTCTATACCAAGGGCATCTAGCATCCCTACCATAGCATCTAACTCCACCTCCACCACCCCTGCCAGGTAAACAATCCTCGACTGTCAACTCTCACTGGCATGTACATCTCAATCGTCTTGCGCTTAACTACACAATCCACATTAAATATTACAGTAGAATTCGCCAGCTAGGTCCATGAGGAAATAAACTTTTGATGTTTCAAAACTGGATCCAACATTCCTTGGATCATTGGGGTTTTTAATTGTTCCGGCGTGAAAAGACAGTATGTTCTGGTAACTGAAGCTTTTTTCCCTTCAACATTTTTTCCCCTTCACTTATATCCTCGTCTTAAACTACATATCCTGTTTTGTCAAAGTCTTTTAAATCTACGTTACAATTTTTGTTTTCCAACTGTCGTAATTTACTTCTAAATATCCTATTGTTCACTGGCCTAAGTCTTCTTTTCTGGCTGCTCAAGTCTCGACACATGTCACTAGCATTTCTTTAAACTATCACAAATGTATTGCTTCAAAGTTATCTTGCAATTACTGAACATACTTTGCTTTTGTAATCCCTATTTTTATTGATGACTACCCATCAGACCTTTGTGTGCCAAATAAGGTGGTTTCAAGAAATTATTATTAGAATCATCTGTTAGCTGTTTTAAAACAACATAGCGTAGAATTTACGAATGTGAACAAAATTTAAATTAATGTTTACCAACACAATCAATCAACAAACAAATCAATCACAATCACTCTTGAACAATCAATTTTGCGTTCAGTCCATACCATATTGATTCATTCCAAATTCATTCATTCCATACCATATTAATTCATTCCAAAATGCATTCATTCCATACCGTAGTGATTGGGGAGCGAGCTGGTCTAGTGGTTAGAGCGCAGGATTTTGGTATCTGAGGTCTCGGGATCAAATCCCGCCAAATCACCAATGGATTTTTATCTAAGTGATAATGCCGCAAACCCTAGGTCTAGCCTGAAGTAATGTGAAAAACAATCCCGGGCTCGTGCCTAGCGTCCGAAAAGGAAAAAAAACCCGTAGTGATTACAAAAATAACAAATGCATTAATTTCTGTCCCAGATGGATATTAGGAGTTGTACCAATTTTACACTATACACAGTTAGTGGATGGTTTTACTAATTATGAATTTTAAAGGTTGTACATGCCAGTGTAAGTTTTGGTATTAAACTAGTTTAGACCGTAATAATAGTCCGTAGTGTTAGTGCTGGATTTAACATGGCCTACTGTTCAATTTCATGGTTTCCTGGTAAGCATTAACCTTGTGTGTTCATTGAAATTTCATTTATTCATCGGCTAATCATAAACCATTGCTGAATACTTTAAGAAATTATTATTTTAATACTTGAGTCTAGATAAATTTTATCATGTTGACACTGTTGACAGTGGAATCTAATCAATCATTATATTTTAAGAAAATACTTCTATTTGATGGGGTTTTCCTTTGGAGAGGGGTAGTGTTCAGCTATCTTACCTAAGGAAAGTAGAGTCTAGGTGGTTTTGTATACAAAAAGGTTAAGGAACACAACACTGATATGTCATCCTATTGTAGGACTTTTCAGAGAGTGGATTGATGAGAATTAAAATTTTAGTTGTTTACACTTTGAAGAATTTTAAAGTAAAAATGTCAGCGTACATAATGATATGTAGCTTTTTTTGTATATCTGAAAGCTAATTTTCTAACGATCTCTTAAAAAAAACATTTCTTCCTATTGTGTAGCCAAATCATGATTAATACAATCCATACTCTTGTATGGATTTACAGGTTTTACAAAGGTAAGTTTATTTGACTTCTTGGTCTTTATAAGTTAGGAGAAGGTGTTAAACTTATTATGAGGTGATAGAAATGGTAATTATGATAGTAATTAAATTGTTTTGTGGTTGGTAACAGCCGGTCTCGTATCCCAGTCTATGTCGGGTTGGCAATGATGGATGCCGTGCCAGTTTCTTCTTCTTCTTCCTCTGGGTATTGTAGCATGAGTGTCGAGTGCGTGTGGCATGCTTTTGCAGGTCGTCAATGTTGTAACCAAAGGATGTACATGTCTTGCATTTGCATAGCCAAGGCCAGAATGTTCTTTTCATTTTGTAATATTTAAGTTTGTTTTCAGTGTTGTTGGGTCTACATTTGTTGTTGTTTGGTCCAGTGGTTTTGTCCATTTAGCACAAACACTTTTGAAAAGGTCAAAAACCCCTCAAGTTTTAGTGGATATGTCTTGCATTGTCACTCTAATACTGAAGTCCGTTATGCTAGCTGCAAAATAATTAATTAGTAATAAAATATGTTTAAATAAATTATTAAATTCACAAGTAATTACTTGAAATAGTTTAAACGATTTCAAAATTGCTATTACTTTTTATGTGTTAATTATGAATAAGTAAATAGATAACTTATGAATGATTTAAAATGCCTTTTTCTGGTACATTTATGTTGTGTTCTATTTTTAGAACAAATCAAAATTCTAGTTTTCATTTAGCTAAATTTTTTTGTGTGTAAATAAGCCTCCCTCAATGTTCTGTATTTTCTAGATATTTTGCCCAGTTTTGAATGTTAATTTCATGTGATTTCCGGTACAAAATTCCACTGTTGTGTCAATAAGTTTTTACTCTTATAATTTATACAACATTTTTGTAATGTTAATACAGTACCCTTTTTTCATTTGTTAGGCAATGCACCTTATAAAAGACACACTTTTGGACTAACCTATATGGGGGATTTTCTCACCGCGGTCATATATAGATTTTTGCAAATAAATATTTAGCTATAGGCTAGCTATTTTATATTACGTTTTTGCCAAGTTTCTTAGAATTTAGATTGGTATACTGTGTTTACACATATCTTGCGTTATAAGTGATTTGAAATTTATAATTCTTAGTATTGTTAAAAAAATTAAAATTTTGCTTTCATTTTGCCATATTTAAATTAAAATTTGATAAATAAGCTGTTGGTGTAAATAAATCATGTTTAAAACCGTTCTGTAAAACTCACATAATTCTTAGTTACCCAAGTTTTTATGCGGTTTGTCATTTGTATTTATTTAGGTTTTTTTTGTGTTCTGGTTTATTTTTTATTTAGATTTTATTTTTTATGTGTTTTAAAATAGCATATTTGGTTTTTACAACCAGATTTACTCTCCTAAACCATTTCATCACTGATAAATGTAAAAAATAAAAAATAGTGGGTATATTATAAACATTTTACATTAAATCTAATTTCAATTTCATTCTAAATTTCCAAACCTGTATGAAAAAGAGTGCAGGGGGCCTTAAAATGTTTATTAAAAAAAGTATTACATTTTGTACGGTATTGTGTTTTTTTAGTGTTATTAAATGTTTTAATCTCTAATGTAGATCAGCATTTGAAACCTTTAACTGCTCCTGCATTGCAAAAATGTTTTTTTTATTAAATGTTTATTTTGTAAAAATAAAATATTATTCCAAGCATGCAGGCATCCAAGGCCTAATCGCATCTTGTAAACAGTAGAATTACCTGAAATTAAAAAAAAAAACTGCATTTTGAAATCTCCAAATAGCCATGCATAGGTTGTAAGGTCTTTATAATTTGTAATTTTTTAAAGAAAGCATTGTGACAATTTTCTAATAAAAGCTTATTTGATACATTATTTAGCTTACCTCATATGCTTTAATTTTTACTATACATAGGATGTTTTAACAGTTAAAACTAATTTCAGAACATAGGCTCAATTACATTAATTTTTCAACCGATTTATGTCCCAAATTGAATTTAGCCAACATAATTTTGCTTCATGAATGGTCAATACTAACAAATCAGCTGATTTTGTTAATTATCACCAAAGGTTTAACACACAACAAGGAAAGGCAAGGCAACACTAAATAAACAGGCCGTAATGCTCCTCTGGAAGGACGTCATCGTAGGCGACGGCAATGACGTAATGTTTGTCGTTTGTGATCAGCTGCTTGTTTAAATATTTTCTTGGAAAACAAAAGTATAATTAAAAAAATAACGTTGCGTCATTGCCGTCGCTTATGTTGAGGTCATCCTTGAGGAGCATTACGGCCTTTTTGATTAGTGTTGCCTTGGTAAAAGCAGTAATATTATCACCATTTAGGCATTTAATGTAACTTGTTTTTTTAACAGGTAATGGTATAAAACCTTATAAAAACAGCAAATCTTATTTTGTTGTGGTTCACTTCATAGAGAACTTTTTTTTCTATAAATCCAATCTTGTGACATTTCCTACTTACTTTAGAGATGAAATTTCTCTCTCAAAGGTTCTTTTTTAGTAAGAAACTATTTCAATTTGTTGTCTTCCTTACATGCAGCTGGACTTCAGGAATACCTACTCCTTCATCTAACATTCCTCGACCTATAAGGTACTCCTCACTACAGCAGTAATTTGTGCTCTATTTTTGAGTGAAGTGTGATGGTTTATTACGAACTATTGTAGTAAACATTTAATTTAATTATGGAAGTGTTTATAATACAGTAGACTCCCTCTTATCCGGACACCTTTTAACCGGAAAATTATTATCAGCACATTGGTTTAACCGGACTAGATCAGCAGGAACTGAAACGACTGTACTCGTGGGAAAGATTTGAGACCAGTGATCACGTGTCTAAATACAATACTCTCCTAAATTTAAGTCGAATATCACAGTAAATGGTCCGTTTTAACAGGTTTTTAGTGACGTCGGTTTAACCGGAAAACCCGTTATCCGGACTGGCCTCGGTCCCGAGGAGTCCAGATAAGAGGGAGTCTTACTGTATATGGTTGTGGTTAAATTTCCGAAATGTATTTCTATGTGTTGATACTGTTCGTAAAGGTATTGCAGTCGTAGTTATTAAACTTAACACCAAATATTTAGAAGAATATACTATTAAACAAGAATATTTATCATCTGGATACTATCAAATGAAAAGAATTTGACTTATTTTACCACATTAGCTAGCTTTGTTACATTAATCTGTATGTTGTTTAATTCATACAAAGGGCATTTATAAATTGGTAGTATGTTGCTTTTTAGTGTAATATATATCTCTGATTGTAGGACAAGAACTCCGTCAGGATCATCGACCCCGGTGCCGGGAGGTCTGTCGTCGACCAAGGTTACTCGTAAGCCATCCGGCGCATCCGACACTTCGACTGGCGCAGCTCGACGGGCGTCCTCCAAGTCTTCCACGCCTACAGACCCTCGCGCACCATTCCGTCTCTGAACTCTCGCTCACTACTTTGAATCTCCAACTACTTAATAGATTTATGATACAAAAAATCAGCGTGGAATAGTCTTAGAGGCTGTTCCGCTCGGAACTAAAAAGACATAGTTTAACTCTATTAATATTATATTACCATTAGTAACAAGTAACTCGACCTACCGTGTACAGTCGTAACGAGTAGGATAACGACTAAACATTTTACGTTGCGAACGTATATGCTAATTCGAATATACTAAAAGTATTTTTTGCATTGCGAACTAATATTGTAAATACGAGATTGGATTGAGGAGAAACAAGTGCCATTGCTCATTCGTGAAAGATTTTTATTGAGAATCAAAGCAAATATGTATTTAAATCAAATGTTATATAGTGTTAGCTGTTAATTTATTAATACACTTTTTGTATTGCGTAGTTATTTTCTAAGAGTTGGGTTAGTTACTTTTTTACATTTTGGCTATCCCAAGAAAAAGTGATAATTTTATTTGTGTATATTGAGGTTTCTACAAAAGGCTTAGATGTAAATATCATTAAAGATAGAAAGTCCTAATATATAAACTCGTAGAGTATATTTTGTACATTCGAAGCACCGTGTGCAATGTGAACGAGTGCAATTTTCAACAGTAAAACGCACTATTGTAATTATTTTTTATTTTTTGTTTATAATAGTTTTGTTTGTACAAAAAACACAGTCTGTCCAGATGTTTGTGTTCTCGTATCAGTTTTTTGTTAATTCTAGTTGAGACATTATGTTATTATTTAATACGAGTTTAATAACGCTTAGTAAATAACAATTTCACCAACTGTTAATGAGGGTTTTATTTCCATTCCTTTTACATGTGTGATTATGAGACTGAAAACAACAGGAAACATAAGGGTAACTTAAATTTTCTGTTGACCAAGATAGTTCACAATTAAAAATTGTACTTTTATTAAGTAAAAAACCGCAATCTTTTGAACAGTACAAAAACCATACTAACAAAGACTTACAATGCTAAGTTTCAGTGAGATTTTTAATCTTGTTGGAAATTTAATTGATAATTTGCTATCAAGGTAGAGATGAACATATTCACAACTAAATGTCAGAAGAGTCTTGTTGAAAATATGCAGAGTTGTAAATTTGGTTCAATAGCAAATGAAAGTAGCAAACCAAGCTTGCGTCAGACCTGCAACAGTTGTGGGATTAACAATAATGAATAACATATGTGTAAGTTACACGGCCTCTGATTTTAAAACAGTAATGTACAGCAAAACAACCCTAAGGCAGTTGGTCTCTCACCCCTCCTCCTTTGTGGCCGGTGTGGGGCATTATGTGTGGAAAGGGTTGATTATGGCGGAAAATAATGCCTTGTCATAACAAGGCTTTTGCCACCGAATTGCCACTGAGACTTACTCTCCTCAAACTAGGGATGGTCAAGTCTCGAAATTTCGGGAAATTTTTGGGAAATTTTCAATCTCGTTACACGAGACGAGATTACTTTTTGGCCGAGATTTTTATCAAGACGAGAATAAAAAAAAAAAAAAAAAAAATTTAAAACGCCTGCAGAAAGTCAATGCAATACCCGCAATACAGGAGCGTGTTGTAGTTGCGTTTCCTTTTCGAAGGCGTTCTTATTTAATTAATTCTTTTAATGTAAATATTACTTTAATTCTTTTAATGTAAATATTACTTTCATTATTTTAATAATATTACTTTAATAACATTTGAGAAGTTTTGTTAAGTGTAAGCAGTGTGAGGAATGTTTTATTACTATAAAAAAAGTCAAAACAAGTAACTATTTTATAAAAATTAATATTGCTTTTATTTTATGATTTATTTTATTTTAGGATAAGTTGAACTCTATCCTAACTGATATCACCATGTTTCCTAATCGTAGGCATTTTTAATAAGTTAGGCGTGATTAATAAAAAAATGTTATGCTGATGTTATTTAATGAAAGATTGTAAATATTCTTGCCTATTATCATTATTTTAGTATTTAAACAGTCATCTAACAATGTTACAAAATCAGGTAAAATTTCTAACGTGCATTTCCCGTTGTGTATGAGAAGAGAAATCTCGTCTCGAAATTTTATGAGAAATTAAAAATCTCGTCTCGTCTCGTCTCGAACTAAAAATCCAATCTCGTCCATCCCTACCTCAAACCAATGACAGTAACTTTCTGTACACTTCTGTAACTTTCTGCTAAGTCGATCAGGGCCAGGTGAGAGGTAGAGTTTAAGGAAGACTCAACGTTTACTTTGAGGATAGTACAGAGTTTTCACCCTATCTAGGAAGTGCCTTGTGAGGTTTTTTTGACTGTACCCTCCAAGCAACATAAAAATGTAATTCAAATTATTTAAATTCAACCGATTACAATTTTTAACTCTTCATAGTCGTCTTTGATTTTAAAACAAGCATCATGAGTAATGAAGTTTTTAATTTTAATACAACTATTTGAATGTTATGATTGCTGGCTTGGAATACATCTCTTTTGATCTGTGCACAATTTTTAAATTTATAAATGGTAGAATCAGAGTTGGCCTTAGGTGGTGCAGGGCCCAGTGCAAACATTCAAAGCGGGGCCCCTCACTACCAAAAAATGAGTATCACAAACAAAAATATCGGTATTATTAGAACTTACTTTCCCCCTTTTTCATCTTTCATATTTGATGTAAAATTCACGGACTTTTATAAACTTTCTAGTATTTCTACCAATCGCAGGGCCCTATGTGGCCACACTGTTAGCATCTGCCTAAGGCCGACTCTGGGTAGTTCATCTAGTATGTAAATTTGTCCTCATTTGTATAACTAGCCAGTACTTTTCCATAAAAAAATTTAGATTGTGTTCAAATGAAGATCAAATTTTAGCCCCATACAAAATAATGTAATGCGGATTTGTTAAAGGATAAAAAATTACAGAATTTTTACTTTTATAGGATACTTTAAAAATACAGTAGGACCTCAATAACAAGACTCATGGGGATTATTGAAAAGGACTTGTTTGTCAAGGTTGACTTCTTATCGAGGTTTGCAATAACTTTTGTGAAACAGTGAAAATGACACCTGTTATCGAGTTCCAATGTATTTATAACTTAACTTAAAATATGTATCCAATACTTTACTTACTGTCGCCAAAAACAAACTGGAAAATTATGAATAACCCAACATAGTACACAAAGTACTGGTTGAACAAGTTCATTGCAATACTGTTTAAAGTTTTGAGTCACAGGTTTCAAGGCGTCATCTCAAAAATCAGGTCTGACGAGCATCGAAGCAATAATTATTTGTAACAACCAGTTTAGAGAGATCCTTAGATTGACTTGTTCATGTAATTGAATTATGAGGGCTATCTCAAATGTTGGTTTGTAGGATACTTGCATTTTTCCTCAATCTGAAAACTCGAAAAAAAAAATGTAAGAGCCTACACAGACTGATAATAATTACCAATTCTATCAATTCATACAAAACTTTGTGGCATAGTGTGGTTAAGATAAAACAGACTAAATCAGTTTGAAGATGATAATGTATAGATAATCTTATCAATCTATTACTCATTCACTATAATAAATAAGTATTTCATTTTACCCTTTGATACTCATGGCAATGCCATAATTTACATCATACATTTTGCCATTACAAAATAATTGTTTACAACATAAATTATGAGACAGTCATCACTGATTTTTACCGAGACTTATGTCATGGTGTTACATAGAGCATCTTTTAACTAATGGCTTAGAGTAGGGAAATGTAGTCAAAGGTTGTATTTTGACACCCTGTACTGAGATAAAGGGCTGATTAGCTGATTGGTTATAGTGATCGCCTAACAATCAAAAGGTTGCCGGATCGATCCTGAGAAAAGTCAATAGCTTTTATATCGTTTGAAACTGGACCCAGCTGTTTCTGATCATTGTGAGATATAAAATTATCCTGACTAATGAAACAGCTGGTCTTGGTCAGTAGCAAAGCTACACAATCCACACACTCCATTCTACCAAGGCCCCACTACAAAAACAGGCCATTGCTGCAGCGCGGGCAGCGCAACAATACATCACAGTGGTGGATAGTTGTACTAAAGTTGCCAGACGCATATAGCAAGCTTAGTTACCTTAAACATATAGAATATGGCAGGGGATACAGTTTTTGGCCATCATAGTTGACTCAAATAGTAATGTTTCTATTATGTTATCAATTACTAATTTGAAATAATAACTTCGCCAATTTGGCGAAGTTATTATTTCAAATTAGTATTAATTCCAATATAAACAGTTCTTCTTGAAGATATGTTATCAATTATTTGAGATGTTCCGGCTACCCTGGTAGGCTTAAAATATAATTGGTAAAATTTTGTGTCAGGAGAGCAGGATGAAGTTAGGCGTCAGCATGGGTGGGTGACTCAACTCGTAAGGTCCCAACAAGTTCTGCCACCCTGGTACTCTTAGGCAAAAATGATTAATTTTGTATTGGGAGGCTAGAATGGAGTAGTAGTTTTCAGGGTGGTAAGTCCATACAGTAGACTCCCTCTTATCTTAACCGGACTAGGAGTATACTCGGCGGAAATGACATCTCTTTAACCGGACAATTCTTATCTGCACATTGGTTTAACTGGACTAGATCGGCAGGACGTCGGCTGTACTGAAACAACTGTTCTCGTGGGAAAGATTTGAGACCAGTCATCAAATGTCTAAATACAATGCTCTCCTGAGTTCAAGTCAAATATTTGGGTTAAATAACGAGTTTTTGGGGACGTTGGTTTAACTGGAAAACCCGTTATCCGGACTGGCCTCGGTCCCAGATAAGAGGGAGTCTACTGTATTAAATTCTGCCACCCTGGTACCGTACCATTAGGCAGGACATATCTATTTTGTATTAGGAGACTAGAATGGAGTAGGGGTCATCACAGTTGACTGAACTAGTAAAAATGTCTACAATTGTCTGCCACCTTACACAATGATTGGTAAATTTTTGAATCTGAAGGCCCAGAGTAGGAGAGTCATGATGGTGGACTGGGACTCTTCTACCTTGTCCTTTTGAATTCGTTTTTCTGTGCTCAAAATTGCCTCTCATTTATCTGTTAACTAATTGAAAAAATTAAAAACAAAATAAAGTTTGGGAGATATATCACTACAAGTGACGTAAAATTCATTCCTTATATCTGTTATTCTAATGACTTTTGAAAATGACTAAATTTAAAACTAAGATTTAGTATTTAAGTGTTTAACTAATGTATTTATTAAAATTCATATTTTTTATTATAGTATTTAACTAATTGAAAACTTACCTTTAGCTTGGTTTCAAAAGGCTATAATTCACCACTTTAATTTTTTTATTCAACTAAACTTAAAGGAAAAGTATATCCTCATTCGTGAAGAGCAATATATTTGTTTGTTATAATCGATAAATTCCTCAAGAAGTACGCCAATGACAGACCCGATGACAAACCACGGCGGTGCTGCTTCTAGAAACTCTTTGCTATAAACTAGATTCATCACTCATTGTTTGACAACTTGTAATTGTACTTTTACTTTACTATGATTGATTTACTTGTCTTTATAAACATTTACAATTACAAGATTTTTCTACAGGAAAAAATCACAAGTTGAAAGAAGCATTTTTGTTTATAGTAACAATACAGAATTTCAGCAAGCATTCATCAACTTTATTTGTAATTCAAGATAATATTTTGATAAATGTGTTCATTAGTCATTTACTGATAACTGATTTTGCTATCTTAAACATTATATTTATTCATGATAGAAAAATACATGCTTACTGTCAAAACAGTAACACAATATTAAGGATTTTGTTGTCAGATTGTATCTCAAGTATTTTAAAAGAGAATCATAACCTATTAATATTCTTATTCTATACCTAGGATGGCGTAGATTCTTCAGAATGTTGTCACTGTAATGTATTTGATAGAATTTAAATTTGTTCTAAATATTTAATTTTAAAAATTGAAACATTTTACAAAGTTTTTATTCAGACGAAGTGTTCAGTCAAGTTTTGAGGAAAAGGATTTTTCTGTCATACCCTTTTTTAAACTACTCAAAATAGAGATTAATTTGTTCCTACAGTAGTGAATGAGACAATCTTCAGTTGAGTTCCTTGTGAAAACCACACTTGAAGGCATTTTGACAACTCATCTTGAAGAAAGTTGATTGTTCTGTTTAACATGTCAAAACACAACCAAAGTATGAAATAATAACCGTGCAATAAAGACAAAGCAAATGGTGACGGGTCTGAATAAAACATAAAACATTTTATATTACAGTATATTAAACTATTTTATTAAAATTCAAAACACTGTACACGTAGCTTACATAATAAGTCTTTTTTTGTTTGGAAATGCATAATAGCTCAAGTTACTAAATGGTGAGAAACAGTTACATAGTGACATATGTCGGAGCCGTCATCACTCCACAGTTGTTATCCACAGGATCCATAAGGATGTAGCCGTCGTTGCCCCAGTAGTTGGACCAGCTGTTCTTGATCAACCAGTAGCTTCTGTCTCCGATCTTTCCGTAACCAACAAGCAACACAGCATGGTCCAAACCATCTGGGTTATTTTCTGGAAAAATAAAGTTTATTTAGACAGATTGCAGGTTGCTTTCTGTGACCTCTCCTAGTTCAATAACTAAGTAGAAAAAGCGTTAAAATTTTTTTCCTACAAAGTTGGCTTCCTTGTACTGTTTATAGTACAGAAAGCTGATAATTGCTGCATATTTATACTTTGCCGTACGGTTTATACTTTGTCGTACGGTTTATACTTTGCCGCACATCAGGATTCCAACGAAACAACACAAAACAGCGTGGTTCTATTAAGCACGTAATCCGTGTACGCTTGGAAATAGGTTGGCAACACTTAAAGATAATAATACTATGAGCAGCTGATTGACTATTATAACTACGATTTAACCTGTCATTTCGTGTTTATAGTTTCGGTATTTCTGAACTTTCTGGACTTTTCTTTTAAACGTTTTTAAAACATTCCTACGATCTTAATAAACAAGAAAATACCTTTAAAGCATTTTTTTTAGGCGCGGAAACTACTTCAAATTACAAAAGCATACGGAACTATATTCTCAAAACGCGGAGCACATTTCTTGCCGAGGAAAAATAGCAGAGTGAACGGGCCGCGGGTACTACTTTCTCTAGGGCACCATTTGTGTTGCCAGCTGAACCTAAAAACGTGTTGTATAGTGTTTGAAAGACTAATTATTTATATGCTTTATAGTGACTGTAGGAAAAATGTAATGTGTAACACGATAGAAAAAGGCCTTTGCTGCACTCGAGATCATTCCGCACGAGCCGCAGGCGAGTGCGTAAACATTGCTCTCGTGTGCAGCAAAGTGCCACTTTCACCACTAGTTACACGAATAACTATTTATTCATCTATTTACAAATGAATGTCTTAACATTTTAACTCCAACATTTTAACTCCAAGGCCTCCAAAGCTTTGAACTACCGATGTGATCTAGCCATACAATGTAGCACAAAAACGATACCTGAGCAATTAATGATGATAAAGACCACTTTATCACCATTAATTGCTCAGGTATCGTTTTGTATAGCAAACTGTCTAGTAAGTGTATTATAATCAATGGTTCACTACGTACTGCAATTCTTGCTGTTGTACACTCCGTTGCTGTAGAAAGAGAAGGTCCTTTGAGAGGCATCGATGGCTACAGATATCGGTCCATGTTTGAGCAGAGCAATCTTAAGTGCATCCGGGTCGTTGGAAGTGACGTTCACGTAGCCTGTGATCGGAGCAACCATCTGAGTCTGGTTTATATGACAGTATCCATCCTGAAATAACCAATAAGTTTGAATGGCCAATTACATAAAAGCACTTTAATTTATAGATATATATTTATTTATCTGTTTAACTAGGTTTTTGCAAAGGTGTCCACAAAATTGAGTGGATTTATCATGGCATTATTTTATTTTGTCATTCAACCTCGCCACCAAGCTTTATTATTTTTAGATGTAACTAGCTGTAACTCGCGGGCATTGCCCCGTTTAACTTCTTAATTTTCAAGATGATCTCGTTCGCATGGCTCAATCACGTCCTGGTTGAAGTTTGTTCGCTACGCTCACTCACCTTTAGGTTGGAGCTCGTTCGCTGCGCTCACTTGCCTTCAGGTTAGCTCGTTCGCTACGCTCACTTGCCTTCAGGTTAGCTCGTTCACTACGCTAACTCGCCTCCAGGTTGAAGTTCGTTTGCTATGCTCACTCACCTTTTGGTTGCAAATTAGTTGTTGTCATAAATGTAAAAGAAATAATAGTGCTGCACCCTGTTGGTAATCCTTGTAACTTTAATGCTATTGAACATCATAGAACAGATAGGGGTGTGCGATGCATCGAAAATGCATCGAAATTTCGATTCGATTCGATTCGATGCATCGAATCGCGATTCGATTCAGTGGTGGTCAAAAAACGATTCGATTCACGAGGGAGTCAGTATCCATATACGAAAAACGCCTGCAGAAAGTCAATGCAATACCCGCAATACAGGAGCGCGTTGCTGTTGCGTTTCCTTTACGAAGGCGTTCTTATTTAATACATTCTTTGCATTAAATATAGCTTTAATTGTTTTATATTTTTTTGTTTTGACATTGCAAATGATTAGAGGTTTGTTTTTTGTCTTGATGTAAGCAGTGTGTGAAATATTTTACTACTGTGAACCTAGCCAAAACAAGGTAGGTTACTCCAAAATCATTTTAAAAATAAGTTTGAAAAATTGTTACTTAATACTTAACTAGTAAGATTAATGTTATAGACTGATTCATTTGGTATTTTTGTTAGGTGTCTGCCGGTCCCCGTCCCCGAATTTTTGTTGGGGCAAAAGAAAAAAAAAAGAATAATTTATTTCCAAAGAAACACTCTTATATTATTATATCTATTATTACAGAGGAATTAAAATGTTCAAATGAGAATTAAAAATTAAGTTGGCTCACGACCTTTAAGAATAAAGACACAACAGAGCAATTGCCGCACTGCCACTAGCCAGAGCCAGGTCTAGTCTTCTACTGATAAGAGTAACAAGACAAAAGCCGTGACGCAACACTAACAGTGCAAAGAAAACAAAGTCAAAAGAATAGAAAGACTATTTATCCAGACATACTAGTATAATCATTTATTGTTTATTCAATACCTAATTAAAAATATATTTTATTATTTTACATAATAAATTATAAACAAAAGAAATATCTGATATAGTGAACAGATCTGTATCTTGGTTAGATGGGGTAAAAAAAATATATTTCTAAGATCCAATACAATATTTACAACTCACAAATTACATTGAATTAATTTCTTTGAAAATAATCTCTAACAGTTTTGTGTTTTTGAATAAAGAAATATATTTCTTTGTCTCTACTTCCTTGTTTCATCACTTGCATTTTGTCAGCAATTGAAGCAACTGGGTAGCAACCGGGTGGTGTAAGAGGGGAGGGGTAGGGTCTATGACCTTGAATTCACACATCGTTGCCCGGGCCTGGCTGGTGAGACTGATTCATTGTTTTTGTTTACATACTACTACCCTTCCTTAAGAGAAAAAGGCCCTGCTGTTCCAAAAACATCGAGGGTAGTTTAAAAACATTGACCTGTGTTGTCAAGGGCACTAGGCTAGAAGATAGCATTTAACTTTCTTGTCTCTTGATTTAATATTATTTTAATCTTCTATATATTATTTAAGAGTTACTTTTCGGGTACCTAATTAGTTGTGATATTGTTTGGCTTTATTTTATGGATTTTTAATTCTTTTCATTCATTAGCTATCCAAATCAGTTGCTTTAGGATTTTAATCTCTTGCAGTAGGTCTATACTACTGTATGACATGATATGCATTTTTTAGTCCTTATTAATTATACCATAAACAATGTTTGTATGTTATTTACTGTTTTTGAGTTTTATAGGAAATTAGTTTACACAATATCTTTTCTTCAATGAGTTCTCCACTTGACATGTTGTTTCTAGCCTATTACTATTTTAGGCCCTATAAAAATAATGCCTAGGTAAAGCTGTAGGCCTACTGATGCCAATAATAATTCTTTATTTATGATGATGTAACAAATAATGTAAGTGTGAGGTTATTATACTAAGGAGGTTAGGAGGCAGGGAATGAATGATACATATTGCATGGTGGAAACATATTATTTTTATTTTCTTCTTGCTTGCAGTCCTGAAGCTGGTCCACAGGCCCTAAACTTGTGATATGTAAATTTATTTCTTAATGGTCTTTTTATATTAAGTTCCATTCAAATTTGTTGTAATTTAGCTACCGGCACCTATTTAGTTATTTAAACAGTTATTAAAATGAGAATGAATGTCTTGATAAAAAAATATTTTCTTCTTTCTTGCAGTTGAGCCAATTCAAGTAAAAATTATGAAATAGGCAAGTAAAGCAGCTCACTGGTATTTCCAGCAGTTATTCTAATACATATGATTGAAAATAAATATTTTTTCACCTAAAATTCATATGTTAAGTATGAAATAGGCCTAATACCACATCAACAAAAATTTTTATTACACAAATGTGATACATTTTAATTATTGTTAATCCACTCAATTGACAATTATGAATAGAAAAATACCGTATTGCTTCGAATCGAGTTGCATCGAATCGAATCGAAAATCTTTTGAATCGAATCGTTGCTTCGAATCGAAAATTTTTTGCTGCTTCGCACACCCCTAGAACAGAACCAACTTGTTTAATTGAAACAGCTTTTAAGATTCATTAATTCCATTTCTCATAAGGTTAACATGTAAAACTCCAGAGCCACTGGGGCGGAGCCGATTGGACGGATCACGAAATTGATGGTGTATAAACCTATTCCATGAAATTCTACACGTATGTACCAAGTTTCGTGGCAATCGGTTCAGCGGTGTCTGAGTTTATCACTGCCAAATATATATATATATATATATATACATATACAAACATCCTCTTTTATACTTATAGATTTTGAGCTGAATATGAACACAATGAGTGTAGAAAGTAGTGACCATGTATAGCTTCATTGTTGCTATGACCAGCTGTTTCTATAGTCATGTCCATTTATTGAAAGCCCAATGATAATGGGCTGCTGAATACAGCTTCAAATGGTTGTTGATAAAATAGTACATTATGAATTAAGAGATACCGGTAACTGAATTTTGTTAACAAAACAGTAAAAATTCTCTTAGCGATATTTGTTATTTTCACACATCTTTCACTGAAGCACATAATTTCACATGTTTTGTCAGCTTTGAACAGATTCAAAAATGTGTTGTAATATAGATTACAAATTAACTCAATTTAAAAAGTATACAGGGTGTTTCACGGGAACCCTGACAAACTTCAGGAAATGATTCCTGGGGTCAAAACTGGTAAAAAAAGTCCTATAAGCATATGTCCTAAACTCACTCGTTTTCTAGTTATACGTAGAAATGTGTTTTTTTAGGTTTTCAGTGTATCTGTTGAACATTTTAACCTCTAGATTGAAAAATCTACAAGATATTTTAATTAAACTTGCATAGCTAGATAGAATATTAAATTACAAAGATATTTCATTAATATTATGTGCACACATGTTGGGTATCACTGAGAAAAATGAGTTAAAAAATCAAATTTTCCCGAAAAAATAAGGATCCAAAAATTTTTTTTATTTTTGACAGCTCTTCATATTTAAACCATTTAGTCGTTTGGCTTGCAACTTTACCAAAAGTTGTAGAATTTAATGGAGAACAATAAAATATCAACTTGTGTATACCTTTTATGGGGATTATCTTTATCAAAATAAAAAATATTGTAAGGTAACACATATTAATTTAATTTGAAGGAATAAACAAAAATGTATATTTAGCTTATTTATAAACATACCTCACTAAAAATTCGTATATTGGTTTTCCTAGTTGAGAAGGTTCGTATAAAGGCCTAAAATCCTCCATCCTTTTCATTTTTTATGGTGTAAAAAAAGCATACTCACTCACTTTTCTATGTTAACATTATGAGGAAAAATAAAATAAAATAGCTCTCATATTTCTAAGTACATATTTAATTAAAACTTTTTATTTGACATAGTTTAATTGGAACTAAATAATTATAACCTAGTATACCCAAGTTTTACATGTTGTGGTATGTTTTTAATTAATATTAATATAATAATGTATCATAATAATTTTAATAAGCTTTAAATTACTGCAAATTAAAGAAGAAAAACAGTAACTAGGGAAACATCATTCTTTTTTTGCCAATATAAACTATGAAGGCTTGAAGTAAAGTTTTTTTAACTGATGAGGTTTTCAAAATGGCCTCCATTTTTAGACAGACACAGTCTAGCACGTTTAACCAGAGATGATGTAGCTGCTCTTATCATGATAGGATTACTTTTTATTGTTTCTGCTACGGTGTGAATCTTCTCTACCAGCTCTTCTCTTGTTTGAGGCTTGCTTCTGTAAACTTCTGTTTTCATGTATCCCCATAGGAAGTAATCCATCGGAGTCAGGTCGGGCGACCTAGGGGGCCAATTCACTGGTCCTTGATGAGCAATAAGTTTTTCCTCGAAACGGTTTCTCAGCGTTTCAACTACAGCTCGACTCCTGTGTGGGGGAGCACCGTCATGTTGATAAAACATCCTTGCCATTGACTGGATGGGAACATCTTCGAGCAGTTCCGGCAAAGTGTTGTTTAGGAAATGTAGATAACTTACACCGTTTTGAGCACCATCTAAGATGTGAGGTCCTACAAGTTTGTCATTTAAAAGACCGCACCAAACATTCACCGAAAACCTCTGTTGAAAGTTTGTCTCCACTGTGGCATGTGGATTGTCTTCGGCCCATATGTGGACATTTTTTGAGTTGTTTATTCCATTCCGAGTAAATTGAGCTTCATCAGTAAAGAGTTTGAACTTAATTTGGTGACGATTTCCTGCTACCCAGCGACAAAACTGAGACCTTCTTAGGGTATCACCAGCGTGAAGCGCCTGAACCTTTCTTAAGTGATAAGGATATAATCCTTCATTATGTAAAATTCTCCAGGTTTTAGAAATAGACACCAGGTGCTGTCGTGAAAGCTTTCTTACGCTTGTTCCTGGGCTTTGCTGAACAGAGTGTAAGATGTCATTTTCAACCTCTACAGGAGTTTGAACTACACCGTCAGGGACAACTTTTCTAACACATCCTGTCTCCCTTAGTCGATTAAATAGATCTGTAAATACTTGCCTATTAGGCGTACGCCTATTGGGAAATCTTCTAGCGTATTCTTGAACGGATGATCTTGAATTTCCATCACAAAATCCATAAATAAATACCATATCTGCATATTCACTGTTAGTGTACATGATATTCACTGCCAATAACAATGGACTGGAAATTCAATGTAAACAAAGTATTCAACAATAAAAATTGCATCAGCTGACCGAGCAAAACAGATGATTTATTAACTGCATTTACAGGTTTACCAATATTCTATTTAATTCAAAGCTATTTTTAGTTGCACACTAAAAAATGTAATCAATTACGAAATAATAACAACAAATATCGATTTTTCAAATACCTGAACCCTTATAATCCGATCCCTCCTGAAACCCAATGAGCTTCAGTTGGTAAATGTTAGGATTTTAAATGTTTATAATAATGCGTCCAAGTTAGTGCACTTCCTAGATTTGTTGAAATTGATTGAGTTGTAAAATATTTTACTTTCTTCCATAAAATGTTTTCACGTCAACCTATACTAACTATGAAGAACTTATTTTTATAATAGCATTTACATTTTTAAATTTAAAAGGTCAAAACGTCCATTAGGACTAATAGTTGAAAAGACTAATTATTTCCCGTAAAGGATAGGATTGTGCTAGTTTTGTGCAAAATGAATATAAAACTGGAATTTTTGGCATTAATCCTAAAGTCCTCAATCAAAATAAGTCATAAGCCAAGTTTTAATAAGATATGTTCAGAAATTTGCAAGTTGTCATATTTTATTTTTCCCTATAAGGTTAACATAGAAAAGTGAGTGAGTATGCTTGTTTTACACCATAAAAAATGAAAAGGATGGAGGATTTTAGGCCTTTATACGAACCTTCTCAACTAGGAAAACCAATATACGAATTTTTAGTGAGGTATGTTTATAAATAAGCTAAATATACATTTTTGTTTATTCCTTCAAATTAAATTAATATGTGTTACCTTACAATATTTTTGATTTTGATAAAGATAATCCCCATAAAAGGTATACACAAGTTGATATTTTATTGTTCTCCATTAAATTCTACAACTTTTGGTAAAGTTGCAAGCCAAACGACTAAATGGTTTAAGTATGAAGAGCTGTCAAAAATAAAAAATATTTTTGGATTATCATTTTTTCGGGAAAATTTGATTTTTTAACTCATTTTTCTCAGTCATACCCAACATGTGTGCACATAATATTAATGAAATCTCTTTGTAATTTAATATTCTATCTAGCTATGCAATTAAAATATCTATGCTATGATGTTTAATTAAAATATCTTGAAGATTTTTTAATCTAGAGGTTAAAATGTTCAACAGATACACTGAAAACCTAAAAAAACACATTTTTACGTATAACTAGAAAACGAGTGAGTTTAGGACATATGCTTACAGGACATTTTTTTCTAGTTTTGACCCCAGGAACCATTTCCCGAAGTTTGTCAGGGTTCCCGTGAAACACCCTGTATAGTCTATCCCTCAACAGTTATGGCCAATTTCCCACCATTTTAATTTTAAATGCTTTAAACCAAATTTTGATGAAGTTTAAAATGCTGCAATTATGCATTTGATTTGCATACCATTACCAAGTAAAAAAATTCTATTGATGAGGCAGAAGAGAACAGCTTTATGTAAAAAATATATAAAATGGGGAATGATACTGATTTTGAAACACTATACAGCACTTGTTTCTTTAGTTACAGTTGGTTAAACATATTCCAAAGTTGTGATAAGTTTTGTTTTATTCACCTGGCCCAGGTAGCCGCCGTATTCGCCCTCCAAAGGCAGACCTCCATGCTTCATGATCCACTGGTAGGCTCTGAAGTCCTCTCCACCGTCACATCCATTGTTACCCTCACCCCAACTGCAGTCTACCAGCGCCTGAAATAAAATCAGATACATACTATAATTTGATCGCTAAGCGACCTACGCGCTAATGCCAACCAATGCTAGAGGAGGTCGCTTTCTAAGCGGCCAAACTATACTACACTACATTTGGAAGGAACAGAGCATATTTTAAGGGATTTCCACTGGGCAACAGCGGCGCTGTACTGTCCGGGGGTTCGAAATACCCCTCAGCAAAAATGGGGGTCCGGGTTTCCCCCCGGAAAACTTTAGCATATATTCAAGTCCCAATATATTCAAGTGGTCCAGTAATTGAAATTATAATTTTATTATTAGTTGAATTTTCCTTTGAAGGTAATGCCAAGTACTACTTTTTAATTTAATATACGTGCTTACACTTGTATAAATATAAACATTTAACGGACTTAACAAAAAAAATATATACAGTAGCCTTAGACCTAGATCTTCCCACAAAAACTACAGTAACTTCTGTTTTCACTTACATAGTGAGAAAGAGACAACACTTTTATTTTTTCTCTACAAGGCATGGCAATAGATGCGCTTTCCTTTTACTTAATTGATCACACGTACCTGTTGGGACAGTCTGACCAAACGTCCAGTCTTGACAAAGTACGCTCCTTCAACATGTCCAGTCGTGCCAAAACTCCAACATGAGCCGCACACTGACTGATCTGGAGAAGGAAACCTCGTAAACTCTAACTATTGATATTTAGGAATAACTAAATGCTACATGTGCAGTTAACAAATTGGATGTAGAAAATAAATAGGTTCTTTAGAACTCTAAGATTTTAAGTGAGCGGATAAGTTAGGCCTCAACACCTACAAAAAAGAAAAGGCCATGAGATCTTCGGTACGTCTCAATATAGAAGAATGTTGATTTTGTTTCATTACACAAAACAATTTCTTTTCTTATATACATAACTTTTTTTAAACTGCACAGTTAACATTTTTTTTGTAATTTGCTTGGCAGACTTTTTTTCTTAGGACGCTAGGCACGGGCCCGGGATTGTTTTTCACATTACCTAGGGGTTGCAGCATTATCACTTAGATAAAATCTATTGGAGATTTGGTGGGATTTGAACCCGGGACCTCAGGGACCGAAGTCCCGTGCCCTAACCACTAGACCAGCTCGCTCCCCCTCACTGGCTATTTTATGACAACATTTATTGATAATTCTAGCAGCCTGACTTAGATAAGCTAGTTCACTTGCATTCTACCCCTGTTTATTTCTTTTAGATAACACCAAACCGAGGTGGAGCTATGCTATGCAACTCTACAACATACCTTTGACAGGGGTGACAGCTCCGTAAATCCTCCAGTCAAACTGTTCAGGCAGACTGGCAGCCATGGCCGCAGTGTCGTAAGGGAAGGGTTTGCCTCCGTTGTAGCCTGGAGTGTGTCGTCTGCCTCTCAACACCTTCAGCTCGGCAGGTGTCCGATCTGCAAGGTGGTTCACTGCCAGAGTGAAGCCTAGGTTGGCTCGGTTGTGAGATGCAATCAGTCTGAGCAACAACATAAAGTTAAATAGTGACAATCCGAAATAGCCGAAAGAAATAACATTTTTTATCACACCTTCAATCCTAGGACACAAGAAGCTTGGAACCGTTTTTACATTACTTCAACTAGGCATAGAGGGTTGTGGCATTATCACTTAGATCTAATCATTTGGTTATTAGAAGGATTTCAACCCAGGATCTCAGATACCTAAGTCCCTCCACCACCACTACAAGGCCACACTAAAAAAACAGGCCGTAATGCTCGTCAAGCATGACGTCACGATAGAAGACGGCAATGACGTAATGTTTAATATTTTTGTGACAAAGGGTATTTGTTTATTTATTTTCCAAGGAAAGATTAAAACAAGCAGCTGATCACAAACGGTAAACTACGTCATTGCCGTCTTCTATCGTTACGTCATGCTTCATGAGCATTACGGCCTGTTTTTTTAGTGTGGCCTTGACCACTACCACTAGACCAGCTTGCTCTCCAAAGAAATAACGTAGAGATAGCAATTTCAATTCATTCAATGGAATGTCACTAAAGGGTCATTTGCAATAAATTTTTCCTTCCTAGACAATGTGTCTAGCAATTTAAACACGTTCTTTAATCCAATAATTGTCCTTGGACGGCGGAAGTTGGGTCGTCCTTAACAACCAAAATGTTACAATGCCCAATTAGAACATTAGCTGTTTATCTAGCACAAGAAAACAATGCTACCAACTCACGATAGTAACATCTAGCTGAATCACCCTATCTCACCTGAGGTTCTGGACGAAGGTGTGTTTACGTGTGTGATGTTCGTCGGGATGGTAGACCTTCTTGTGTGTTTGCTGGAACTCCTCCCAGGCACTATCTACATGGTGAGTCACTCCCTCAATAAACTCTGACATAGGGTTGAAGCTGACGATGTGGTCCTCTCCGGGTCCAGGGAACGAGCCACATGCAGTTTCTGTATTAAAAACAAGAAACTAAATGTATTTATAGATATTTAAATGGAATCATAAGCCTCTAGAAATAGTACCAACCTCTGTGTTCCTAGGTAGGCCTACAGGCTATCAAAGACAAAAACTTTTTCAGCAGAAAAACTAGAAAAACAAGATTTACTTGTTGGAAAATTCTAAGTAAGAAGTTTAGTGCAATTGTAAATCACTGCATTAGTATGAGTAAGTTTTCATTGGCTTTACCTGTTTGATGTTTTACTTGTCTACTTGGCCTTGTCTGTTTGATGTTTTAATTAATTATTTGATTTGATTCTGAGATTTAGGTAGGCTAATTTATGCCTAATTTAAGGAATACTCAAATAGTACTTTCACGGTGATTAACACCTTGAGTTCAAAAGTTTTTATATAGTAAAATGCCTGAAAGTCCCAAAATAAAACAAAATTTCCAGTCCTTAATTAGTTGCATGTATTTTAAACACAATAGTGCTATGATTTTTAAGCCAGTCAAAGAATTAGGGAAGCTACAGGGGTATGCTTATTCATTTCTGATTTTATTTGGTTCAAGACCTTGAAGTTGGAATTATCTTTGTAGTTCCAACACTAAAGGCTTTTGCTATTTAGTACGGTTGTAAAATGGAATTCTCGCTACAGGATTTGTTTTATTAGCCTACTGTAAAAACAAAGATAGTTTATCGTTGTTCAGTTTAAAACTGCTTTCTGACTCTTATCCAAATCAGTGTAACAAATTAGTGTTAAGGTTGTATGTTTAACACATTTACCCAGTTTACCCATTAATAAATTTTAGTCACATTTATCATCACGGATTTCATCCTAAAGAAAAAATATGGTTAAAAAACCTAAGCTTTAAATTTAAAATTATTAAGTCTGCCTCTCAGCTGTAACAGATACCTTCTGATTTAATGTAAAAATTTGTAGCCAAGAAAATGGATTAAGTTCAGGACCATCTCACCAGAAGGTTTTTTTTGTCCTAGGACGCTAGGCACAAGCCCGGAATTGTTTTTCACATTACTTCAGGCTAGACCTAGGGGTTACGGCATTATCACATAGATTAAAATCCATTGGCGATTTGAACCCGGGACCTCTGGAACCAAAGTCCCGCGCTTTAACCACTAGACCAGCTCGCTCCCTCGTCTCACCAGATGGTACTAGTGTATTGGGTTAAATCTATATTATTAATACACTACATGAAACTTTGTGAACAATAAGGCTTTTTTGTTTTAAGATTTAACCCCACATATTATACACCAAAATGTATGTCTAGGTGTGTAGATTTGTAAACTGACCTTACATTGTTGAAAAAGTCCCTTGGGCTCTGCCCTAGTGGCTTTCAAAGTTCCCATGTTATCCTTATGAAGAACATATTTGTATACATTGTGATCAGCTGGATAATTTAATTGCTGTTAATATTTTAGTTGAAATTTAAGGAAACGTGTGCTACAAACATTTACTGACTTAGTTGAAATTAAATATTTACTATTTGAATTTGTGTTGGCGTAAATATTACAATGGAAAAAAGCGAGAGGGCCTGGACAGTTTGATATACTAAAAAGATAACTGAATGAACACTGTGCTGCATTTCTTGAGCAATCATTGAAAGAGCCGATTTGCAAACTATGGAAACATTGGAAAGTCATAGACACCACCAAGTAGAAGAAATAGAAATAATGTTTTTTTCCTAATTTATAATCATTATTATGGACAACCTAATGTGGCTATGAGTGAGAAATGTTTGTAGAAAACACTTAAAAACAAGATCAGCCTTTGATAAATGATAATATATTTACAAGAAATGTTGATTAATTCGATCTATTATGTACATCTGAGTGTTTCCATAATCTTGGATTCGACTCTTTTAAAGTCATCAGAAATAATTAATTACTGTTATTCATTTTAAAATAACGCCATTAATACTTCCCAATTGCTCAAATTCGAGCAACAGGTACACTATAGTATTAATTAAAATCCATGCAGTATCATAGCAAACAGTTGATTCATTTATCACTTAACAGAGAATATTGTCATTATTTGGTAGACCATCTCAACAGATGGCACAAAGTTTTTTGGCTTCAAATTGTGACATTACTTGGGAAGTCTAAATCAATGCAGATAGGTACCCATTACATAATACCTATTACATAAATATTGTTATTGTTTTTATTTACGGTATATACTATCATCCAAAAGTTATAATATCGTTCATTAAATTAGTTGGTAACCTTTTACTGGTTGGGTTTCAAAAATGTATCAGTACTTAACTTACTTATTAGTATTTAAAAAACTCAAATAAAAAAACCATCATTGTAAACGCTTATCGAAGTTGAAACAATAATAGTTGAAGTAAAAACACAATTCAAACACAAATTTTAACCAAAAAATTATTTATTATTATATTTGATTTAGGAATCGAAAGGAACCTTAATCAAAAAGTGTCAGTTCTGAAGTGGAAAACAAATATTCCGTAAGCTTTCAATCATAACGTTCTGTAAGCAATCGGTGCCACTTGATATGTAGGATTATCAGGGTCAATATTTTATTCCAGAGTTCACAAGTCGCTCAATGATAACACAATATTCTTATCAGGTCATGAGTAAATAGAGTAAATAAGTAAGAAATAAACACGTTACAAAACACAGATTGAAAACTACACACTCACAAATAGTATGATTTTTACAAAACTAAATTTGTAAAATAGGTAGATTTTTTTACAAAAAGGGAAGAAATTTAAATATATAACCGTTAAAAAAAATTAATCCAACTACCAAACGATATGATATATATATTTTAGACTCGACTTTAGTTTTGGATTGATTTAATAATTTCTGTCACTTGCCTTTTTTCGTGGTACCTGTAAACAACACCCAAAAGACTGACATTGATTTTAGATTTTGCTTTACGTTTTGGAAATATTGGTTAATTTCTGTACAAGTACAAATTTCGGTCACTTTGAACCCAAACTAAATTAGCTAGTTTAACGAGTGTTATTTCTTTAATACATGTTTAAACAATAGTGTATGTTTTTAGTTATAAATAAACATAGGGCCTAGACATGAAATGGACAGTATGAGGCCTAATGGCTAAACCAAGACAACAATATCGTGGGTTTTTAGCCTGATGTCACCTCAAAATCATGGTGTAGCGACAAGTTCATAAAATCCACAAACAAGCTTACACGACTCTATGTATAAACCATCGCAGGTTAAAACAGGCTTTCATTTAATTGTTCTACTTTTTCCTACTCACGGTTGCCAACAATGAAGACATCAGCTGGTGGAGAGTCCCAAGTGAACTCTTCGTAGTTGAGGTAGTAGTGGTCGTAATGAGAGCCGAGCAGAGAGTTGAAACCTTTCATCTCGTATCTCACAGGGATGGGAATCTGTTGTTTGGGAGCTTTCGGAGACTTCTGTAAAAGACGTTAAGAATGTAACTAACCTAACTGTACCCATGGTGAAGGTAGCTTTGATTGACTAGTAGACTTCCCATTTCCAATCTGAAGTTTTACTTAGATTTGGATTGTAAATATTTTTTATACAACATGCCTAATATAAAATTATTGAAAATCCTCTTTGAATTGCATTGAATTTCAACCCACTCAATTCACCACATAATGGTAATTCCATTTAAAGAGTTAACGTTTTACAAGATTATCTGCAACTTTTACGGCTAATAGAGCTTCAAATTTAGACATAATACATTTAAAGTTCTATTTGACTATATTATTGCTTACCTTCCAACGCAAGTACATAGTGTATTTGTTTAATTTTTCATCCCCAAACTTTTCAATCTTGCGCCACTTTTCTGTCATCAATCCGTTCACAACTTCTTGTCCAATCATCTGCAAATTACAACATATGATTAACTTCCAGGTTTTATTTGGTTTTAAATATTTTCTTGATATATAAAAAACTGCATACATCTGTTTAATAGAAGACATAAAATTGATATAAGACATTTTATAAAGAATACATCTCTTATGACGTTTGGTTTTGTAAATCAACAGATTTTTACTAATAAAGTTTGCAAATATTTTTCTATCATGAAAGGTTTGCTGTGAAAAGCATTTTATTGTCGTCCTGTAATCCAACTACCTACTTACTAGGAGGTCATGAATTGCTTGATGTTCTGTTCCAGCTCACTTGACTACACTTTTAATAATGTTCAAAGCAATTGTTCCGCAACAGCACTGAATTACCTCAGCCTGCCAAACTTAATCATGGGGCAAGCGGTTTGACTCCCCTGTTTGGCCGCAAGGGGGTCATGAGACTGTGTCAGCACGATTACTGCTGAAGCGAGACTCTCGGCCGTTCTACACAGGCTGTCACTTGTCAGCGTCGTCACGCAAGTAATCTACATTGGTCTGATATTGTGTAAATAAATCATTTTAAATTGCTACTCGAATTTTCATTTATTAGGAACTAGGCTACTCCCTACTTGAAACTTTGAAAGTTTAGGATGAGATTTGGGGCAAAATATAAATTAATCTCAAACGCTTTTTAAGGGAAAATGGTTCAAACTCCTTGTATATTTCAAGAACATGCCGAGGATAAAAACCATCTCTATCGCACCAAAATTTGAGGCCCTAATCACTAGGATCGCAACATACCTATTTTAATCTTAGAGTCTTATAAAAAATACAATAAAATCTTATGGTAACATGACTACAGAGTCGTATACAAAACTAACCTCAAATCCGTCTAGAGCTGGCAACACACTCTGAGGTTGGATCTTTTGTTGCTTGGTGCCGTTGACTAAGAAACACCTCACAGCATTGAGTTCTGTCTCTGTGGTCATCGGAGCAATCTTCAGCGAAGTTCCATAATTACCTTCTGTACTCAGCTGGTATGTTTTCACCATCCCTGTAGAATAATAGTTGTGCACAGTGAGTGAGGTTTTTTGTGCTTTCAATTATTAGCATTTTTTCTGTTTTAGGAATTGGCCCAAATCCTTGTATTTTTACCATGAAATGTCGACCTTTTGTTATATTGCATTGTTAATTGATAGCTCTATGTCAAATGACATCTGACTGCAGAATATCTATTCTGACCCACACAGGATCGGACCAGTAACATTCAGACCCAAAGGCGAGGACTACAACCTCTTGGCTACCCAAACCATTTTTGCCTTATTATCAATCAAAGGTTTACTACATGAATAGTCAACATTATTAGCTACAAAAATTAATATAGAACATGAAAATTTAGGCTTTATCTGCTGAAAGAAGATGGAGCAAAGATCATTTTTGGTATTTTTTTTTTTAGTTTGAATAATTTGACTGCCATTTAGCATACAATATTAAACCGTTTGGTATTTTCCTAGTGAGGTCAATTGATTGTAAGAACCACAGGTGGCAACAGGCCATGGTAACTAAAATTTTGAAAAACAACGCACGCAGGAGACACTATTTTTGACTATCTTGGATACCTAGGGATAAGCCAATTTCTTGAAGACTCTCTCTCCACTTCTGATCATTCAAAGGGTGCTTGTAAAAAACTAAAAAAAGGATTACCTCCGTTTTACACTTAATGCTTTACTTACTCACATTTGGTTTAAAATTAAACTCAGTTGCTTTCCTTCTCTATTGGTAATACAATTATAACATAACAGTCATGCATTGTTTTTGCTGTGCATTGGAATACAAAAATGTTATATATTGTATTACATGTGTGTGTGTGTGTAAATGAGAACAATTGGAGAATTTGACAAGGTATATTCTGATGCATTTCTGTTTGGTAGTAAAGTATAATATATGAGACAACAATTACGACACACATCATGTAATATTTACCTCCATAATAGTCGACCCTGCTTTTGCCCACAGAAGCATCGTACCAACTGGCAAACGGCTCATTTATCTCAGCATAAGGGATGTATATTACTCCTTTAACTATGTAAGTTGGGGGCCATTCCGGAGTTTCAGCCGTGGCACCTGAAACACAGATGATTTAGTTGTCTGATACTGAAATAGAAATTCCATCTGTGGACTAGCTGTGGCAATATTTTCATTATGAAAGAACATAGCTGAATGAACCTCTTAGTGAGCTAGTCTATAATTCTATTTTTACCCTTAGTTTTCATTACTGTGATAGTTTATGTTAATTAAAAGATATCGTAGGCCTAAGTTTTTGTTCAGTTTTGTTTGGTGTGTTTTACAGAAATCAGTATTTTAAGTTAATTAACCTCTCTTTTCAGTGGCTTAATTCAACTAGTAAAATTTGTATTGTTAAATTACAACAGGACAACCTCGCCAATCCATCACCTATGGGACCATGGTCAGAACAGTGAAAAAGTTGGATTACCCGAGGAGAATATTAATTACCATATTAATAGCTTAACTGACAGTAATTGGAAAGAATATGTGTAAAACAATTCAACTCTAACTGTTGCATAAATTGTATTTAAAAGTATGTTTTACTTTTGTTGACCATAATATAGTAAAAATTGTTCAGTAATACTTCTATCACTTCGTTGTGCAGTACCGAGGGGAAATGAAAAACAATAACACACTTAATAACTTATATTGGAGATATTGGCAATAAATAGTTAAATGTATAATTAAATTTAAAAGTTCAACAAGGCCAATATATAATAAATTCTTTTTTTTTTTTTTTTTTTTTTTTAAATGTCATTGTTGAACTTTTAAATTTAATTATACATTTCACTAATAACACACTTATCAAAAATATACCTAAGTATGTTCTTTCACATCTACTAACATTGCTGAAGGTAAAATAATAGTTCTACTTAAAACATAGGTCTCCATATTTTTTTAATGTAGCCTTAATTTTCAAGAAACATAATAAATACTAAACTGATTGTGATTATCAGAGCTATCGCAGCAAAACTATGAACATCTTCTGCGATCACGGAGACTGGCCGTCTCCCACCAAAGCAAAGAAATTATGAAGAAGTTCCACAATCACGGCGACATCAAAATTGTCTCCCATGACCACGGGAAAAATTGTAATCATCTGCTGCGGTTGCAGCAAAATTATGAATTTCTTCCTCCATTACAGAGACATCATGAACACTTTTTGCAATGCCAGTGACCTCCTACGATTGCGGGATAATCAAAAAACGTTAAACTGAGTGATGTACTGGAAAAAAGGCAATGACATGGTCGGATTAGCGAGGAGTGGTCAGATTGGCTGGATTCTGGTTACAACTTAAAATGGGAACGGAATTACTTTTTTGACCGAAAGCACTTAGATTTATCTTTCAAGTCAAACAATTAACGAATACAAGTGGTATTGTCGAGTTATGTGCTCAGAGTAAAGAACGCTGTCTAATATTCTTTAACACTCACCAATAAAATTCACTTTTACAGCATACAAACACAAAACTAAACATGAAAAATGTGTATAACTCATTGTTCACAATTTTCCTATTATTAATTAAGAATAAATTAATCTTCTACTGTAAAAGCTTCCGGTAAAGTACAAACAATATTCTTAAAACTGGAGACAGCGTAAACCCAAGCCAGTTGAATTTTACTTGCAACGACACTTTTTTTGTAAAATTTATGATCAAAATAAGGTTAAATCCATTTGAATACTCCAAACTGTAATCCATTTTTCATAGAAAACTTATAAGTTAATACACTTTTTGCTACCGTACTTTTTGATACTACTATTTCAAATGTTTCCTAAAACAAGTTTAAGAGTTGTTTTTTTAACTGCCATTTAGATTACAAGGTTACTAACTTATCTTTAAACCATATTTCATTCAAACTTAATGATGCATGATTAATAATTACCGAGTAAAATTTTAAAGTTAAAATAGGACAAAATTCATCTCTCATATTTCAAGGAATATTAAATAAATGAATTATCATTGACTCCTAGATGATAAGCCCAATTAGATGATTGATACAGATTTATCACTTTGAAATATGTACAGCATTAAAAACCTTGGTGCTATTAAAGAAGTGCCTATATATTTGTGCAACTCAGTAACTTTGCTATCCATCATTCATTGGCATAGTAAACATTAAATAACTAGCTATAAAAAGTTCCAGTTAATCAGGGTTGTTGAAGTAAATAATAAGTACCTACTGTATTAGCCAGTTTACTTTGATCTGCTCTGATGTAGACATAGTTTAATTGGCAAGTTATTTGTGAATGGGAAACTTTTGATCAATTTATTGGTTCCTTCCACTAAATTTGAGTACCAGTATTATAATAATTAAATATAACTAGGCCTATAATTAAGTAGCTAGTCAGAATCCAAGCGAGATCGTTTCCAGACCCAGATGCCAAATGTCTTTGGGCAATGAATTGGTGCTACCGTACCTATATCAAAAAGGTCGACGTTAGATAGTAATAAGACCAGGGTTTGGACAGTTCCCTTTCAAAACGTAAAAAATTCCACTGGCGTAGAAACACACAAATAAAATCAAATAATTGTTTAATTTTTTTACATAGCAAAATCAATGGAATTACTATTAAAGTAATCACTTGTAACATTATGTGACACATTTTGATAACTAACAACTACCACCGGTGTACAAAAGTGTATGACATACAATTTAAAGCATTTTTAAGCTTGAGCTTAGTGGTGGGAATCACCGAATGAATCGGTTATTGATGCTGAATAGACTAATTCGGTTATTTTATCCTGGTTCGGTTAAATTAGTCTTACCGAGTGATTCGGTGATTTAGTTATTTAGTTTGTCACATCATCAGGAAACTAAAATTTATTCGGCGATTCGTTCGACTAAAAATCACCGATTGACGCTAAAAGACTAAATGCCATTCAGTTTCCCATAACATAAAAATTAGTTGTATTTTGTGAAAGTGAATAATGACTAAAATTGATTCGGTGATTCATTCAACTAAAAATAACCGATTGACGCAAAAAATAACTGATTGATTATTCGGTCATGGAAACCATTCGGTTATCCCATCACTACCTGAGCTCAATCCCCCCAAGGAGTTATTTAACAATTTCTCATCCAATATTTCATAGATTAAGTTATAGTTTATCAGTAGCCGATAAGTTATACTTTGAAGACACCTTAAGAAGTTAAGGATCCTTTCGTATTCTGACGATGGCAGGTAAATAACTGGCAAAAGATATATATCAGGTTCTCAATATAAGTTTCATTTCATAAGTTTTGTGGTAAGAAGGTATATTTAGCCATTATTTTATTTCGTAATTTACTAAGAAAGCTTTTGTTATTGTTTCAGTGACATGCCGTATATCAAAGAAAACCCACTGACTTAAGTTAGCACCTACTTACCACAAGTTTGAGAAAAATTCATCCAAATAATCAGAGCGATTGGTAACAAAAAACACTCCATTTCACATGATTTGTTATGGCTCAGAAAACTAATATGTCATTGTGGCACTTGAATTAATGAAAAACTAGATTACAAAAATACAGCCTCGAAGGCTACAATAAAGCACTGAAAACTTTAACAAAAGGGCTCAAGAAGAATAACACCCAATCAAAATGCATATGCAGAGCGATTCTTTTTGTCAGTTGGATTCGTAGGATTAGTTGGCCTGTTGTGTGTGGCTGCAGGACTACCTCAACCCCCATAGTCTTCTATGGTGTTCGAACAGTTAAAAAAACAAATGGTTAAAACGTCTGTTAAAAACTTAAAGTTGATAACTTAAGCGTAGTTGATGTGATAATGTTGCACTATTTTCTGACAACTTAGTCTAAAGACTGCTGTAATGATTTAGAAACTGCGTTTGTGATATGTACTGTAAATAAACTTAAACTCTAATCAGTGTAACTTATAGTAGGCCTACAGTTGTTACATAAATCATCATGATAAAAATGTTATCTTACAATTAACTTAGCCTATCTAAAAAACTTAAAATAAAATCCATAACTGGAAAGAAACTAAGTTAAGTATTTTAAGTTTAGTCGTGATGATTTAAGTGGTGTTGGGTGTTGAGGTACCGGTATATAAACCTCCGGTAAGTTAGGTTAATTGTTTTTAGTAACTTATCACGTTGAATGCTGAATAATAACGACATGCGTTTTCCTATGGCTCATCCACCTATGGTGTTTTATCTTTTAAACTAGACCTAACCCTATTTCTCATAAGCCGGTACTTAACATTTAAAAGATATATAGGTGTAAGCAGGTAGCACACACAATAATAACTACCCTCGTTAAGTTTTCAGTGATCAGAGCAGTTTTGTATTTCAGATCGTTTGAATGCCGTCTATTGTCATCATGAGCCCCACGGCAACGCCGGCGCACGAAGACTTTGTGCAGTTATAGTGTTTGTGCTAAATTTGTTGTTTGTGATAAATTCACAAGAAGACTCCTGAAGATGTAACATGGCAAAATGTATAGGGTGACACGAACATCTTACCTACAAATTTCTAATAGGGTATAAATCACTAACTTACATCTTACCATTATTCCTTTTTTTACTTGCAGGGTACAGTTACACAGAGAACCAACGATTTTATTGGGTAAATAACGATAATTGGTTCGATATTAATATTGTATTGAGTATAATGGGTAGACTTTCATAAGTGGGGCCAAAAACAACCAAATGAAAATATTGTACCTATCGATTATTCGATATATTGATTATTTCATTTGGTTAGTTAGGTTAGGTGACCTAACTAAAAAAACTTGATATATCGAATGAAATAATCGATACCCTATATTCTTTCGGTTGTTTTTGGTCCCATTTATGAAAGCCTACCCAATACAATCATACCATATGATATTTAAATAAATTTTACAATAACAAAGCCGTTTATTTTTATCCTTAGGCCTATTTTTAATAATTTGTTTTGTCACAGTTCATTAATAGGGTAGGTCTACTTTAGTATCTGTCCTACAATCATCCAAATGAATATATCGATCGATATATATATCGATTATTCTATTATTTAATTCGGTTAGTTAGGTTAGGTTAACCTAACCCCAAAAAAAGTGCAGCCCAAAAAACTAGG